ATAGTTCAAGTTGTAATTCCCAGATGGTATTGACAGTTTCATTTCTCATTTTATCAACATGTGATATATGATATAGTCATTGACTCACCTGTTATCTGGACAAACATAAATTAAGTGTAGTGGCTTTTACATACAATGATTCAGCGTTTACACATTTTGTACTTTGGACTTCCATGCTGTTGGCAGAATTCAAAGCACGAAAAGAACAGCCATATTTGGCGTTGCCCGCCTTCATTAGCCCGATTGGGTGCAGAAGAGTAGAAACTCTCATTTATTCATTTATTCATTCATTTCATTTTCATTTTTGAGAAATATGTAGGCTGATGCAATGCATTTATGTCTTCTGAAAGGCAAACAATCGGGAATTGTTCAGATCAAAAAATCAATTGCAGTTCCCTGCCTTTTTCAAATTGATATACAAACTGACATTTATTATTAAATACTTAACTAAGACTATGCTAAATATGTTTCATTGTAATAAAATATGAAAGACTGAAAGACTCGCCTTTCAGAATCATCTATAGCCAACCAGTCAGTTTTACAGTTTGTCATCTCGGCATCCGTTGTTTGAAGATCGCCCACAAAACTGTTAATATTACCTTAGAATTAATGTCAAATGTCAATGGCCAGCACTAATAAGAAATTAAGACAGTAGGCAACAAGAGACACTACCAATATCTTGTTTTAAGATTGTCTTGAAAATCTTGCTGCTTAATCAGGGAGCCGCGGTGGCTCAATGCGTTAGACGATTGCTCACTGACCTGAAGGTCCGGGGTTCGATCCCGGCATAAGTCTAGATGATACCTTTAGATTTTTCAACCCGATTCCCCCTTTGACAGGGACGCAGATCGCAGGGGCTGGCGTGGTAAATTGTCTAGTTGTTCGGAACGATAAACCGAGGCCCTGTGTTCTACAGGCTATGCACGTTGATCTCTCGGCAGTTGGAAATCGAAAAAGAGTAGGCTAATACCACTGTCCTGGCAAAATCCTCCTCGTTGTACACTGCTTTGCACTGCCCGTCTTCTTTAGCCCATAGATGCAGAAAAGTAGGACGTAAAATTCCATTCATTTCAGTGATTGCCCCCTCCTCCCCCCCCACCCCCCCTTTGAACACTAAGATGTAAAACTTCATTTCATTTCGATAGAAGAATATTTCTATGCCGAGCATAAATATAGTATATATCATAGTATTAACATGATAGTGCAAATAAAATGACCTAGAAGGAAATTTGCCGGACACAATTTCGTTTCTTATTACACAACAGAATTAGTGTTTGGGTCAGGGAGACGTAGACGATGATTGGGGAAGAAAGTAATTAGTCTTCCATTATTTTGAGCTAGATATCCCTACATTTTAATTTCTACTGGTCTATAAAATCTCTTAAACTAGAGAAATTAATCTGAAGAGATAGAAGGTAAGATTAGTTAAGTCTAGTGGATAGTATTTGTAGAAAAGATTAATTTCTCTTGATTTAAATTTCATACAATTGTTACTGAATATCCCCAGCCTTGGGCTTTATTTTGTTGTGTGTCCAATACAGTATTAAACACCCCGACAATAGAACTTATTATTGTCAAATATTCCACTGATTTGCTTTTTTTCATCGAATTTCTTCAACGACGTCCATTTCATTTCATTTCATTCAGATTTGCAATTGACATTTTGGTGTAAATACACGTGCATTGTATTATATCCCAAGCTCTTTTTAAAATTCTCTCCTCCTACAACAATATACACTCGAGTAGGTTGAATACATAACACCAATGTACTTGATGAAAGTGGGTTGACTAAATAACACTAATGCACTTGATAATATTGGGTTGACTATACACCATTGTACAAAATAAAAGTGGGTTGAATACATAACACCATTGTACTTGATTAAAGTGGGTTGACTTAATAACACTAATGTACAAGATAAAAGTGGGTTGACTAAATAACACCGATGTACTTGATGAAAGTGGAATGACTAAACACCAATGTACAAAATAAAAGTTGGTTGACTACATAACACGATTTATCTTAATTACACCAATGTGTTTGATTAAAGTGGGTTGACTTAATAACACCAATCTACTTGATAAAAGTGGGTTGACTTAATTACACCAATGTGTTTGATAAAAGTGGGTTGACTTAATAACACCAATGTTGGATTGTGGTCTGCTAGATGATTAGGTGCCGTGGGTTCGCATCCTCCATGTTGATGCCTGTGCCAGTGCTTCTTATAGTCAGTGCGGTATCGGGTCTCAGCCATAATACCAAGGTACAAGATAAAAGGGATCGATCCTATTACACCAGTGTATAAGATAATGTACTTGGTTCGACTTGATAAAACCACAAGTGTAAAAATTCAACATTAGAAAGTGCAAGTCACACATTGCCATATTTAACTTGCATTCATTGTGACACATTCAATGTACTTTGTTTATAATTGACGCAAGGAAAAAAATTACACGTAGAAATTAGCAAAACAAGGCTATTGTCTTCCTGAAGTATCTTGGAATCAGTGGAAATATTGATTTATATGTTCAAGGCTAATTGAAATAATTCATGAAACTAACTGATTGTTATTGTCTAATAGATTTTGAAAATGCCATTTGAATCTAAAGGAATGCCTTTTAAAACGGAATCGCCTATCTATTTTCTGGTGATGTTGTTTTTTTAATGACACTTAACAAAGACACTCTCCCTTATCCGCCAAAACCTTTTGATCTGATTAAATTTTGTATGTACATGTATTTGAATATCGGTGAGATCTTAGAAAAATTCGACATTTGTGAATTTGTATGTGTTATTGCTTTTGATGTTACATTTGGCTTTTGCATTTTTTTTTATCTGATATTAATAAAATCTGTATGTATATTTCGATGAGATTATGTTCGAATTGGTAATAAATAAAAAAGAGGTTTTACCCTTGTCTTTGTTCACATGAGTACAATTATCTGATCTTGGTGCCTTATGCAATTGGATCCAATTTGGTACATAAGTATCCTATTTTGATGATCTCTGGGTTTGAATTTGATGGTATTTTGATGAACAGTTTGTGAGTTATTGCCCTTACTTTTAACGAAATTCTTTCAAAGTTTGAGACTTTAAAGCAGTGTGATTTAAATAATCTTAAATGGGTTATTGAACTTGGTTAAAAAGATGTTGACATTTTTAGCTCGATTGTATTCTAAATGGAACATCAGTTAAATTACGAATTTTTTTAAAACTTTTTTGGACTTACTTAATTTAAATACTGTCGAAATCAGAACTTGTGTTTTTATTTGATATCAAGTGAAACAGCTGTTAGAGAAGAGAGATTTATTAGTTGTTGTTTGACATGTACAAGATATCTGGAATTTTCCGTAGCAAAATAACATTAAAGGCATTCTCGAAGGTTATTAACCTTTCCGAATTGTAAACAGCGAAGCGACGAAAATAGTTTGTAGTGTCAATACTGCCTTCTCGTCCTATGAAGTATCAAAGTATGATTTTATATGTTTTTACCGGTTCCAAAATAAGTGTCAGAATGTACCAAATCAATCTGCTTTTTTTTTCAATATATCTGGGAAGAATAACCTTAGACCTCTCCTCATCTATAGAAGTTTATCCCCAGTAATTGCCCAACCCTCACTCCCTCCTTAGTTTTAGGAGACAAGAACTTTACGATAAAAAAGTTACACACAGAGATATAGAAAGCAAAAATTTAAATATATTATCAGCTGAAGATCAGTTTTCATTTACCGTGTTGCATGTATCTGCGGTCATCGTTGTATATCTTTATATCTACCGCCCAATATAAGTAAATCATATATCATTTTATTGATAATAAATGACAATGTTTGCTAATCATAAACCATACCGTAATTTCTCACTCATTAGAATATGCACCGATATTTGCTTCTTTGTGTCATTTTGGTTCCGTCTTGCATGGAACATTTCACTGCAATTTTATTTTTATAGATAAGGGGAGATAATAATCTTTACTTCTCACTACTCTGCAGTGGGTTTTCTTTATATAAAACTGTTTTCAGCACCAATAATTTGTCAAGTTGACGAACTATTTCATTTTAAATCTTACTCGAACATGTTACATTGTGCCATGTACATTTTCTGTGACTCAACACAATTAAAGTGATTGTAAAGAGGTTTTCTAAATGTATTATGTGTATCGGGGACACAGATTCCATGCCTTTGATATGTTGATGATTGTCGATGACAGATGTGCCTGAGTTCGGGGGTTCGATCCCAGATAGTATCAGTTATCAGTGGCGGAGACCACATGGCGAAAGAACTCAGTTGAGACAATAGAACGAGGTCCCTTGTGGTACAAAAGAGTGTGTCAGTTGACATAGCATGGCGTCGCTTGTCTTCACTATAGACAAATAGAAGCAGAAAATAAGAATGTAAACAATATTAAGTAATTTTCAGGTGCTTTGCCTGGTTACAGATGAGTGGGGCCCGTGGATTTAAGTGGGCTGGGTTATGCTCTCCCACATTCTGAGACAATAATATGTCTTTTAACGGAAGGTTTCTGGAGTGGGCCTCCTTTGAAATGCGTCACTGGTTACCCTCGATAGGATTTACAGGTGAATGTCTTATTGAGTCAATATTCCATCTAATTTGAGTCAACAGCAAAATGTTAATAGGTAATCTGGTAATAAGCATGGCCTAGTCTCGAAGCAGGTAGAACTAATGACCAGTTGGTAGGCTGGATATATGAAACTAGAGACATTATCGGATAATGTTTATCTTATTTTCGGATTAGATTTGAACGGGATCAGCCTTTTGAGCTAAAAATAACGGACTTATGCCCCTTTTGGTTTATCTATTCAAGTGTAGATTTTTTTTCGTTTTAAAACACAAAAGTATTTTAGACTGTTTTATTCCTTTACTTTAACAATGAAATTAATGTATACAAAATTGTGTAGTGCACATTTCGGTAACTTTTATGTAGATCGACAGGTTTGATATTTATTGGTTTAGTTTGAAGTTGGTGTCATGTTGATAATGTTCAATAATATGGTGATGGAAACCTCTCATCCCTTTCGTCATACAGGTACTCATAATCTATTCTAACAAAAATAGAAAATAAACCAATTATTATCAATATACCAAATACAAAAATTATCAGCTTTGTGAAAGACGTATTTCTGAAAAAGGAACATACGCCCTACGTTAGTGCAGCGCTACGATCCTTCGGATTCAACAGCTGAAAGCTCGCTCTTGTGTTGAAGAAAACCTCATGGAACACCAATTATGTGTACGCTAGACAAGGACTATTCCAAATTTTAACTTAAATTTGTAAAATTTTTGACAGCGACAAACAAACACAAAACAGAGGAAATTGTAGGATTCTAAATCCAGTCGGTTGTACCACAAAAATGCCGCAGTAATTTAGCACCGAAAATCAAAAAAAAGTGTTTATCTCGCAGACTACTTTTCAAACTCTTACAGGCTAGGTAAGAGTTGTATTTCGAACTGAACTACAACGATGTGAAACTTACTCGCGGTCGGTCCTTATGAACTTACCGTTTTTATGCGATGGCTTGAAAAGATAGTCTGCGGCAGATCTTTTGTTGACACTTCTTCCAAATCTGAAAGAAATTACAAAATTTGATAACTAATCTGATTGTAATGACAAATTAAATGTTTCATTACGAGGAGTCCTTATTCCATCTACGATCTTACGAATTTTTTATGCAATACATGTTTTAGGTCATTTAAATATCCAACCCAGATATTTGTGTTCGTGCTTGATAATGATATTGCTTTTTGGACGCAACTACACAATTATTACCTTTGTTTGGTAGTGTATGAAGCAGATTTCGATATATTTTCGCATAGTCGTAATGAAGAATTGTGATTTATTTTGAAAACAAAAACTGACTTAAATCGCACACTGGGAGAAAGGTTTTAATCACTATGCCCGTTTTAATGAAGCTGGCACACCTTTAAGTAAATTGCTGTCTGGGATACCCCTTTTAAGTTATCACGTTATCTCTTTATACACAGAGCTGTTTTAGATTAAAGAATTAGAAATAGTTTGTAATTTACGATGCATTTGAACATATTGATTTCGACTTAGAAAAGGACAAGTTATAGAAGATGATAATTTTCAAGTCGAAGCAAAGCAGATTACCATTTCTTGATCATTAGCGAAATTACAATTTCAATCAACTGTAACAAACATTGTGTCACACTTATCCAACGTAAACCGACAAGATAACCTAATTACTGTCCATAAACGTTTGTAATTCCACCTGTTTGTCATACTGTTCTGCAATTATCGATTTAAGCATTCACAGATTGAACATTAGCCTCTACAATAGTATCACGTCCAATTAGCAAGCAGATTATGACAGGATAGAAAAAAAAGTTGTTATGTTCATTGATCCCTTAATCATTGTTAAATATGTATCTGGTTAAAATATAGATCACTGGTTTCGTGTTTTCCCATGAGTTACTATTCTCCTCGTCCATGATCTAACAAGATTCAATCTAGTTTTGATCTTACGGTTTCTTTCAATTTACGCTTACTAATGAATCACAGTTTAAAGCATTTTTTTTAAACCGGGCATTTATTCAGTTAAATGACATTATAAACTGAAATAAGTTTGGCCACGCATAACAATTTTGTCATTATTCAGGCATAACGGCATTTTAATCTGATTGCTATTAAAGAAAGGATATGGATTCTCTTTTTCGTTTTTTATTACCTTGGTCTCCCAACAATGGCGTAATATTCATTTAATGCTTTAAGGTATCTTCTGAGTTCGTCAGGTGATCTGAATTCTGAAGGCCTGTCTGGTGGTGCTAGCATGGAATCTTGACTCGTCACTTCCAGCATAACTACTGCTGCTAATATTAATAACGATAACACTAATTTTTGCATATCTGTTGTTTTGTTTATTGGTTTTATCTGAAAAACAACAGGATGTTTGTTATAAGTGCATGGATTAGAATATGACAATAATGAATTACTACCTCTAATAATATTAATGGAAAAATTAAACAAAAACTCATATATTATTGAACACTGAGAGAAAGTATTTAGTCACAATTCCTGCTTTAGTACCGTTCTCCGAGAGTAAAATATAAGTATGTGTTCTTAAGGTTTGTGAATTCCCCATTAAGTTCATTTAACAAATAAATCTTGTATCTATCTTAAATTCTAATTAAAAAAATACCAACTGATTAATTTTAAAGATATTTTTGTGCTTTGTAGTTTTTAAAATTATACGTTGTAATTTAACCAAGAATAGACTTCAACTAAATTCAGAAGAAGCTCTTACATCTATAGCTGTCATTACAAGGCTTGTCTTCTGGGAATTGTAAACTATTTGTGAAAACCTACGATGCAGACTCTTGACATTCTTGTTTCATTAACAATAGGATATCAAATAGTTGAAATTACTTTGTTCAAACGGATGAGTTTTCATAACAATATCTCCGAACCAATATTGTGCTATAACTGATATTATAATTCGCAAACATAATTTTGTATGTAATCAAATGTGGTTATTTAAAGCAGTTATCTCAATCCAGTAGTGGTTATTGTGTACTATGTATCTATCTAAAAGCTAGTGGTCGACATTTATCAGAAGTGACATTGGCCGTTGGAAAATCGGTTGACATAGACGTCAGAATATTTTTCACCGCTATGTCATTTGACCAGACCAGATCTGAAGATTTCTCAACCACCAATCCAAAAGTACCAACTACTGCTGCTAATATTAATAATGATAACACTAATTTTTGCATATCTGTTGTTTTGTTTATTGGTTTTATCTGAAAAACAATTCAGTTGATCCGGTTGCTACTACCACGGATACGTACAGCTTCTAGTCTATCAGCTTCTGTTGGGACCTGACGTTAACTCAACCAACCAACCAATCTGGTTGACGTTGATCTTTGGTTAACATTAAACTTTTAAAGTTAGACATTGCATCTCTTGACGGTGGTTCATATTGACCCATGAAGCATTTGTGAGCATTGACTATGAAGGAAGGTCATCTCCATGAAGTCTGATATTGAATCCAAACGATGTGGTCATCAACAACTATTGACCACAAAGCATTGGTTGACATTCATCATTGGTATCTATTGACCACAATATTACTTCCGGAACTTGCTGACACTGATCAATGTTCAGACTAACCTTTATCTAAGAACTTTTGTTTGTCATTTGCCTACGACTAAACAATAGATCTTTGCAAATTACACTGAATCAAATTAAGCTAAGTACATCCTACACAATGAAGTATTTTATACTATGTTCATTAGGAATTTCCTTATTTTTTGACAATTCGTTAGTCAGTGTCTAATTCCAATCAAACAAATTATTCAGTAGAATACCAGGAGATGTGACCACTTGTCCCAATGGAGACTCTGTAAGTTTCAATTATCCTGCAAACACATTCAATTACCAAACTGGTTCCTTGATTAATGTTAATTATTCACAACTGTTAAGTTTAATTAACGTCGTCTAGACGTTTTGTTTTTTTAACAAATGAAATAGGCCTAAAAATTCTAAAATAAACGAATCTCAAACTTACGTCCTGACTGAAAACATCACAAATTAAGACCGTATTTGTATAGAAAAGATATACAACAATTCGTCTCTTTTTGTTTCTTGTATAAAGTCACTTATAATGCGTAGTTTTGATTTCTGAAAGTATCTAATACTTAAATAAGATGCTCAATACAAAGAGAAAGGTCTTTGCAAATGTAACATTGCATTACAAATGTATATTCTTTGAAACACTTAATGATTTAGATCATGAAACAGATCATGATACCTCTTGATGCTCTCTGAAACAGATCATGATTCTTCCTAAAACAGTTCATGATTCAGTCTTAAATAGATCATGATGCTCTCTGAAACAATTCATGATATGCTCTGAAAATCCTGATGACTTTCTCTGAAAAACCTAATGATATTCTCTGAAACAGTGCATGGTATTCTATGAAACAGTTCTTGATATTTAAAACCGTTCATGAAGCTCTCTGAAACTTCAAAGATATTCCCTGAAACAGTTTGTGATATTCTCTGAAACAGCTTGTGATATTCTCTGAAACGGTTAATGATATTCTCTGAAACAGTTCATGATATTCTCTGTAACGGTTCGTGATATTCCCTGTAACGGTTCATGATATTCTCTGAAACAGTTCATGATATTCTCTAAAACAGTTCATGATATTCTCTGAAACAGTTCATGATATTCTCTGAAACAGCTCATGATATTCTCTGTAACGGTTCGTGATATTCTCTGTAACGATTCATGATATTCTCTAAAACAGTTCATGATATTCTCTAAAACAGTTCATGATAAGCTCTGATATAATGCATGATAGTCTCTGTAACGGTTCATGATATTCTCTGAAACAGTTCATGATAATCTCTGAAACAATTCATGATAGCCTCTGATATAATACTCTTTGAAACAGTTCTATATATTCTCTGAAAAACTTTCATGATATTCTTGGAAACAGTTTCCTGAAAATTTCAATTGGCATGCTTATCTTATATTCATTTCGAAAAATTATCGGAAAAAATTAGGAAATTCTTTGGAACCCCTTTCTTTATATTCCCAGATTTTTGCTGTATTAAAAACTTAATCTCAAATCTTCTAAAATGTTCCCCTATTCTTGTTATGTTATAAGTTACATCGTTAACAGTTTCTGCGTTTCCCGGCACTACTGAAATCGGGCAGGAAATGATGTTAGATTCTAATGAAAGCTATAGGTGTACCCGATATACATGTACAAATTTAAAAAACCTCTATAAAATCCCTTAGTGATGACGTAGATTTTTTTAGAAAAAGAAATACTTAATTTTATTTCGTTGAGAGCTTAACTTAATTTTACCGTAAAAGAAACTATAATATCTTATTTGAATATTACATCTTTTTATATTGGAGTGTTTTTGTAACATCGAACTAAAATTCTACACAATTCTATGAAAATATTTAAAATACGCATTGTTTCATTGCTTCGACATATTTGATTCAAAAAAGTTCGTTATTCGAATATTCTCATAACGAATACTTATGAAAACAATTTATGTTAAAATCAAAACTATTAATTTTTTTGTATCTAAATCAAAACAAAATATTTGAAGAAGGAAAACAATTATTTAAACATGATTTTAATTATGATATAGGAACAATAGGTACCACATTAATCTGATGAAAATCTGATCAGAAAGTCTTACCTGAAGTTACTGTGCTGAAGCTGAGGTTGCTGTTCAACTAATGATTCTTATATACTTTCAGCTTACGTTCCAAAATCGAAGTGGTCGATGGAACCTCTGAGAGGACGTATTTATAAGACAACAAGACGTGTATGTCAAAAACACACATATCACATATTTAGATATTTAAATTGGGTCTAATAAACCGCTAACGACTTGTCGCTTAATGACGCTCGCCTTTTGTCTCGTGGGGATGGCACGCTCCAGGTGGCGTCAACCTGGAAGGAGTATATCTCCGCTGCTATTCCGGCGTGGACTCGGTTATTTTAATAGAACTGACAAACACACTACATAGATTATTTACCTCTTGAGACAAACAATTTGTTGTTAAAACGTGATTGAGTTACCTATATAGAAATTTGGAGACGGATGGTGAAAAAGGATTGTTTCTCTCACTGCCTTTTATTGTCATACAGTATCTTAAATCACCCTAAAATAAAAAAAATAGAAGAATTTTCGTTTTCACTTTTGTGATATGTATCTTGGAACAATATTTTGTAATTTTTGCGAGGCCCTGTGAGTAGTTTTAGTTGCATTGGGCAAATAAGACTCACCTTTTGATTAGGCTATCTTGGACAATCGTGTTGGTTATTATTATCATAAATTGATGGTTACTTAGAGGAAGCTAATTTTCTGAATTTGACAAATTAATTTGCAACAGTAACTATTACTGATTTAATTAACCGAGGCGTAAGAACGACCCACCATTAATTAATTATTTTTCGTGTTTTATTTACTGCAACCGAAGTGTATATCACTCATTAACACCCATTGCATTTTCATGTGATCGAATAAAATCAATACCTCCCACAACTCTAAAATGCTAACTTTAGCTATTTTTTCACATTGCACATGAAAATTGAAAAGAAAATGACGTCAACGTGTCGGATTCGCCATCCGTTTGAACAATCGTATCTTAATATAAAAACGGTACTTTTTTACAAAAACAAGATCTATCTGACGTGACAGGGTTGATTTTAGTCTTGAATAATATAAAAATAGTCTACAGAAGTACTAGAAATGTACGAAAATCGCAAAATTCCTTAAAAAATACTGCAAACTGGGAATTTTACTCATTATTTCTATATATTTCTTTTCTATATATATCACAGAGTATGTAAAATTGACGAGTCATCAATTTAACATTCAAACGCGGATAATTCTGGACACACGTGGATTTGAAGGTTCAAATTTGACGGTTTGACTGATTGGCTTAGCTAAAAAAAATTGCGTTTCTGAGACTAAAGTTGGTTGTTCAAAAATAATGTCCCTTTAAACCAAAGCTATAAACTGGAAAACGTCTTTTGGAAGATAATCAATATTCGCTGTCATTGGCAGGGTACTTGCAGGGATTCTATGCTTGAAGACATTGGATTCTTATAGCTACAGGACTGCAGTCTATGGTTTCGGATGGTGTATTTACCCAAGCTGTGGTTCCTCCCTAATTCTCTATTCTGATTCTTGTTATATAAAAAGACGACTCGCCTTGTCTTTCCTCCCTAATTCTCTATTCTGATTCTTGTTATATAAAACTCTATTGAAGTTGTAATTAATAGTTACATGTATATCGAACTAATTTCGAAATGGATGATGTTGTAAAGAGGTTTTCTAAATTTCTTTTTCAACGTGTGTCTTAAATTTATACTGGTTTTATCCACGTTTAAAATTAATGTGGAAGCCTATTTTTTTTCAACACAAACTTTGTGTCAATGTGGTCATGAATTGTGTTTTGTGTCGGTGGCTCAGGTAGTTCCATGATAAAGAACTCGATCCCGGCATAGTTCGGGATAGTATCGTTAGATCTTACCACCTGGTTTCCCCTGTCAGTATTAAACTCATTTTGGAAAATTTGAGTTTGAACTGTATACTGTTATTCCTGTTCTCTGAGGTTGGGCACTTTTATTATGTTTTGAAATTTTGCAATTTTGCATGTGAGGTAAAGTATGCCCCCACCCCACTCCCCTTTTTACAGTTAACCCGTAGTCACTCTGCAACTGGGTTTGTCAACTCGACATCCAACTAGCCAATTTTTTTTTAGTATATTTATTATAAGCGTCGATAAACATAACATAAAAAGGTAGATTTCAGATTTTTTGCAAAATATGTTTCGTATATACAGCCGATGCACACTGAAAATATTGTCATATAGCTCATGAAAATATACACAAATTTGAAATGCAAATTCCAATTCTTTCACTTACAAATTACATGCCAATTTTCATAATAAAAATAACACTCCGTACAGTCAGAATGTTCAAATTTTGTAGCATTTTATAAATACATTTAGCTATTTTTAACATTCTTCAATATAGCATTTGGTAGATAATTTCGCTCTTTTAAACATTATTCAGTGCTATAGCGCTTGGTATAGCGCTTGGTAGATACATTTGACTTTTCATTGTTCATTAATATAGCATTTGATATCAATATGTTCAGCTTTGTAACATTGTTAATAAATATAAGATTTGATATAATATAGAATTTGATATCAATATGTTCAGCTTTTTAACATTGTTAATAAATATAACATTTGATATAATATAGAATTTGATATCAATATGTTCAGCTTTCTGAACTTTGTAACATTGTTAATAAATATAAGATTTGATATAAAATGGCATTTGATACCAATATGTTCAAGTCTTTGCAACAACATTGTTTATTAATATAGCATTTGATATAAGATAGCATTTGATACCAATATGTTAAGCTCTTTGTAACATTGTTAATAACTATAACATTTGATATAAAATGGCATTCGATATCAATATGTTCAATTCTTTGCAACAACATTGTTAATTAATATAGCATTTGATATAAGGTAGCATTTGATATCAGTATGTTCAGCTCTTTGTACTGATGTTCAGTTATACCATTTGATATCAATATATTCAGCTCTTTGTACCATTGTTCAGCAATATAGCATTTGATAAAGAGTGTTTTTGGCTACTATAATGCTGAGTAGGAAGAATAATAAGAAGGATGAAATATGCCGTTACTGTAGCCAGCATATAAATAATAAATAAAATTCTATCGGTCGCAGCAGCAATTCTTTGCCATTCGGCAATCATGATCTTCTTGCGATCTACGTGAGGCAAATCACTCAAATTGGATTCTATTGAGTAGGAGTATTGCACTGGTTTCGAAACATTGTCATTTTCGGGATCATCGGTGGCATTAGAGGGAGTCGAACCAGACCCTTTGTTTGCCGTCTGAGTTTGCCTGAGTTGGGCCTGTTGACTTCTTTCTTGTTCTGTCCTTAATAATTCTTCTAGCTCTTCATGACGATACCAGACTTTTTCTGGTTGGTTAGGTGGTAAAGTAACCTCTGATGGTGAATTGAAGTTGGTATCTGAACAGTAATTATCTTTATTGTTATTTTTGTGGCCTTTAATTTCGTTTGACTCTATCACCGATTTTTCCTCCATTGCTGCCAATGGGTCCGGTGTTCTCATTGAAGTGTAGGTGAAAATGTTCTAAAAAGAAATTTAAAAAGGTTGATATTTTATGTCCGAACAGACAAAACTTGTAGGTCTCTAAATGGGCTACGTGTAGACGTCATTGGCTGAACTAGATGAGTTGGCGACCGTGGACCTGGTTCATCCAGTTCCTGAGGTAGCCACTGGTAAACGTATTATTTTCGATGCTTCAGCTTACTATCGGTAATTAATGAAACGTTAATGGTGCCTAATATGTCCCATGTTCTTTTAGCAACGGTACACGAGGTTTATCACATATAACACGAATATGCCTATCAAACTTCAAAAGGTATATTATAATTATGCACATGGACTATTTATAATTTACAAACATGGTTCTTACATGGAAATAAGACACACGGACGAAGTTCACAACCATTTTGAATCAATTCCTCGACTTTTCAATTTTGAATAAGGCTTTAATATTTCAGCTAAGCCTTCAAATCATATTTCAAGGTTTAGAAATGGCTTCAAATGTGATTCGAAGGCATTATTAAAATATTAAAGCCTTTTGCAATATTCGACTTACTTAATCGCATACTGATTCGAAATGGTGGTGAATTGCGTTCGTGTGTGTTATTTCCATGCAAGAACCATGCGTAGTTGCGTATGAAACATGTAGGTCACAGTTTGTATGGTTTCAAATACCACAATGGAATATTGCAAAATGTTCTTATGCGTTTTTTCTGAATTACCTTCATATTCGATGAGCACATATCAGTGTCCGATTTTAGTAATCAAAGTGTAATATCTATTTTATCGACTGACATATTTCCAAGCAATCTAATTAGTAATGGCACATTGGCAATGCTATTACAATTCTTTACCTTAATGTGACCTTTACTTACCAATTTAACACCCTGCGCCACAAGTATAATATCGTGATGTAGACAAATTGCTTTGGACAGCCATTGTAGTGTCAATTTACGTAACCAGTACGGTGCTCTGTTGGTTTTCATCCCTCTGTTATAGATGTTGATAACAAGTACAGCCACTATTACTGACACCGATGTCATGGTCATGACCACACATAAATATACACCTGTAAAATATAACTTATTATTATGTTCTATATCTCTTATTATTGTGATGGTGTGAAAGACAAAATCAATAATTCTGATTGTTTATGGGCATTGTCGTAGGGCAGCGACCGAAAAGCCGCGGGCAGACAAGTAGTGTTTTGCAGACTCTCGTGCCCTCATGCTTCGCCCGACAACTCAACCCTTTATAATTTTCGGGCAAACCAGCCTCCACACCAGACCTTCGGCCCGTTCGCCCATGTTTATGGGCCTTACGTTATCTGCTCAATAACTCTTTTTATCACTTTCCACAATCTATAGATTTTAATATAAATGGAGACTGAAGATTTCATCAGATATTTTGAACTACACTTGAGACTGATTATTTTAATGGAATTAACCATTCGTTCGTTGATGAAATATATGGCATGCTACCAACCTATCAACGGAACGGCTTCGGATGTCGCTGGTACTTCTTCAGCTATCAGTAGCATAAACATAGAGAATGCTAGGAAGACAGACAATCCGAGAGTTATCTTTTCACCGGAAGTTGGTGGTAACCAGAATGTTAAGAGTGTTAAAATGGACAGCATAGAACATGGCACAATGATGTTGAAGATGTAGTAAAAAGTCTTTCGACGAATGTGAAGCATAAACGTCAAGAATGGATGCTTTTCTGGACAGCAAGAATGACGTCTGCTGTTCTTCTGCTGGCTTATGGACAGCAGATCCCATTCACTGTTGTTCATATAGGAAGACAGGTCGATTGGTTCGTCCTCTGCCTGCGGTGTAAAATCCATCCAGTTACCACTGTAGATCCACGAACCAAAACGTAAAATACATATCTGATCGTCAAATGGAAAGAATGTTATATCAACTTTACAGGAACTTTTTAATTTAAATGGTATAGGCCATTTTATTGTTCCGTCATGATGTATTAACACATACGATCCTTGCATAAAACCTGTTGACCCTGCATCAGCGCTGAAATGAAAAACAAAGGTTGGCTGAAATGGGGTTGAAAGTGTACAGATGATCCAAAGCACATATTTTTTACTTTCAAGGGAGTTAGGAGTTCTTCCCATAATTGCATCGTTAAATTTGACGTCGTTGTCTGTTTCAGTTTGTCGCCATTATAACGTCGAACGTCAGCTTCGTATTTTCAAATGAACTCAAATAAATTGTTACCGGTCCCTTGATTTTAACATATTTTTGAACACAAGGAGAATGGGTTTGCCACAACGCTTTATGCTGACACACACGACCCCTTCAACGAACATAAAGAGATTCGATGGCACTGCTGTTTTGAGTCGAACTGGCTGAAGTGGGTTCACTGGAAAATGACAGATATCTTACTTGTTATATATAAATGTATCAGGAAGCCAGATAAATTTAGTTGGTATTCTAATGGATCTTATATTATTATAGTCTTCGGGATCCCAGATTAAATTTTCATCAACCCATGTCTGCAATATAGAAAAATCACTGAAATTAACATTGCATTCTGAAGGGTACTTCCGCAGATATACCAGCACAAAGCTAAAAGCTGAAAGACTATGGCAGAAGTGGCACAAGTTGGTATTAAGTGACACATTTCTTTGGGTAGTAATCTCATAGCATTACATTTTCTTAGAAAGCTAAAAGTGTTTCAGAAGCTACGTGCTATCATTCGATAGCAATGCGGGTGTGTTGTTCGTTGGTATTGATTACGGAGGCTTTAAATAGGCCAAAACTGGCAAGGATTTGTCGCAAAAGATAATCTGAACTATACCTGATCAATGAATACATTAGTGGTCAGAACTTGATGCCTTTCATCCTGAAACATAAATTATATTATATTATAATATTGATATCAACAAAACAAATATATAGAATACAAATGTATGTTTTAAGAGTAAATAAGACTCGAGATGCATTGAGATGTTTCCAATTTGAGTACTAGCTTGGATGAAATAATTCCAAAAATACACAAGTTGTAACGAATGTCAGTGGCAAAATGGGAGAGAAAACAGTAATATTTTTCTACAAGGGAATCAATATGATAAATTGGTGCTGTCTTTATATTGAAGTCTTGTACAAACGGGCCAAATTTTGAATAGAATCTTGTATAAAAATAATTATTTAGTTAAATGGATATATCGTCCTATATAGAGATTATATTCTTTATTCATGGCATTTCGCAAGTCCAACTGATGAATATAATACTCTTATTGACCAAGTTTGAGACTTTTAAATTGTATGACCATTCTAAGAGTAGTATTCCTTTAAGGTTACTTACCAAGCCAACTATTTGATTCAGTTTTAAAGCAAATTTAACAATGACAACAGTAGAGGAATTTAATACTGGACGAACGGAATTTTCATACCCCACCATAATATCTCTGTATAATCTCTGTTCATCTGGTACATATACTTTAGCTCCTACAAATATAATCAGCTAAAATTTGGTGCAAAAATATGATTGGATTTAAAATTCTAATACCGTCGTTTGCTTTTTGACTGAGGCTTTTCTGTCCAAAAACCAAGTTCATGGTAATTTACCAAGTAAAAGTAGATCGAGTCTCGGACAAATGTATAGTGGCTCTTAGTGCAAATGGGCTGTGTCTGTCTCTATGAATTGCCTTTCTGTTTCATCTCCATTGCAAACTGATTTTTTCTTCTTCCGATCTTATTTAACGGTATATTAAATTGTTTGTAATTATTACGTATTAAAAAATGGGTAGCCTATAACCGAGGACCCGTGTGTTACAGGCTGTGCACGTTAAAGATCCCTCGACAGATGGAAACCGGAAAAGAGCAGGCTAATGCCGCTGTCCTGGCATTGTCCTGGCGTTGCTCATTTTCATTAGACCTCACGGTTCAAAAAAAGTGGCACGTAGAACTAAATTCATTACATTTATGACATGATATCTGAAATCTTCATCAATGGTTGTTCTCGGAACTACACTATTATCTGTATAAGGGTGCACTATTATGGCAGACATTTCTTTACTGGCCGTTGCCTATACGACTTCAGCGATTCGCAGTCGGACTCAGGCAATACCCAAATCAGTAACAATGTGCAAATGGATTCCAAACATCATTTACCATTAGTATATATAGTAATTGCTTCTGTTCGATACTTACCATTACAAATGAACACAAATAAAATCAGCTCCAATATGAAGATGTTCATTTTAAACAGGATAGGTGTTAATTTCTCGAAGCACTTAAAAGATGGAATATTTTGTTTACATTTTAGCAATTAAATAACTTCATCCGGGCATCTGTTCTGTCTGGTACATTATATCGATTTATCTATATGTATATTAGACTTTAACCACTGGCACGCGCTCTTCATTAAGGGCGAAATATTTCATATAAAATTTGTATGAGCTCAATGGTATGAAAATTAGCCCGTATATGGAGAAAACATTTATAATCCAATATGCCCTTTATTCTTCATTATTGCTTAATTGCTATGATTTTTAGACTGTGCCATTCGGCTCTTTTCAAAGAAAATTCATTTAACTTTGTTAATTAATGACCATTAATTATCAATGGCTAGATTTGTTAAGATCAATGCGTGTTATTTTACCGTTATCCAGACTGTTATATCGATTTAGTAAGGGAACTTGATGGCATGATAATCGAGAAAATGGAATCTCTACCGTGCTAATATTAATCAACTACAACCAGGAGAACCAATCGATGGCATCGCTTAGAATCTAAATTTAGTAACAATGTCTGCAGTTCCTGTAGAAATTATGGAATCAACAACAGAGTTTAAATAGGTTTGTTTTATTTCAAAGTTTAAATTGCCATAATGGCAAAGCTGTCAAATTTGTCTACCCGAAGATCATATATCTAGATGTGCGTATATCAAGCGGTATATATCAATGAAATGGTGAATATACAAGTATATTAACAGAATCCAGTGACAGGTGATTGAGAAATGGCTACCAGAGCTGCTACATGTAAGTATATTTGCTAAACAGTATGCTTAGGTGTATGCAAATGCAATAAAGCGATATAATAGAAGTTTAACCTTGTATCAAGGTCATAAGGTCTTAAAAGGTCTCTAGGTCTAGGTCTCTTTAAGGAATCCATTGTCTAGAAATATGCCCCTACCTCACCACTGCTAAAATCAAAGGTACAGAAAATATGCACTTGTGATATCTGATATTAAACAGTTTTTTAATCAGTACATTATGCAGTACCCTTGAAAAAAGATATACCATAGATATTTGCTTAATACATTGATGGGGCTCCAATTTCAGCTATCCACATCTGAATTTGAATCTGACGTCCAGTTCAGATGCAATTTAGGCATGCAGCCGTTTAGAGGTTTTCTAACCTCTTTATGTGTATCGGGGTCACTGATATCTTCAATTGTTTTTCAATCAGATGTCTGTGGCTCTCACAATTCTGCAAAAGTTATACACTTAAGCAGGCCCATAGCTAGACCAGGGTCTCAGAGGGGCCAAATGTTTTGAAGGGTTGCTCAACTAAATTTTTCAAGGGGGGTCAAAATTTTCTTTCTTTTCTGAGTTTAAGGACATCATTATCACAAAAGCTGCTATTATAGAATGACCTTTGTGATAGGCAAGTCATATACCACTTACTTAAAGTGGAATTGCGAGAGCCACAGACATCTGATTGAAAATTGGAATGGTGATACTGATAATGATATTTTGTTCTGTTTCAGTTACGTCTAAAATCCGAAATCTAAAAGATTTCAATTACCGTGTTGCTAATAATTTAACACCACAAACAAATGGTTTAGATATAGCAAATACATTGAAATACTTCTCTCAGACTCTACTCAGGTAATATATTTTTAGTATATCTTTACTATATTTTATAATATGTGATATACTGTTAGTCCAGAAAGATATATGTGCATCTCCATCTAGATGCACCAAATATACCATAAGAGATGTATCAACCTAGACCACCAGATAGTGTATCTGTATTTTATATTTTTATTTCTAGTGTATTAAAAGATGTACCTAATATACCATCTGAGAGTTATGAACCTAGACAGAGAGATAGTGTTAGGTTATCTGTGTTTCCTAGTGTATATTTTTTTATTTCTAGTGTATGAAAAGATGTACCTAATATACCATCTGAGAGTTATGAACCTAGACAGAGAGATAGTTTTAGGTTATCTGTATTGATATTTTTATTTCTAGTGTATTAAAAGATGTACCTAATATACCATCTGAGAGTTATGAACCTAGACAGAGAGATAGTGTTAGGTTATCTGTGTTTCCTAGTGTATATTTTTTTATTTCTAGTGTATAAAAAGATGTACCTAATATACCATCTGAGAGTTATGAACCTAGACAGAGAGATAGTTTTAGGTTATCTGTATTAATATTTTTATTTCTAGTGTATTAAAAGGTGTACCTAATATACCATCTGAGAGTAATGATCCTAGACTGCAAGATAATGTTAGGTTATCTGTATTAATATTTTTATTTCTGGTGTATTAAAAGATGTACCTAGTATCATCTGAGAGTTATCAATCTAGTCTGCGAGATAATGTTAGGTTATCTGTATTAATATTTTTATTTCTAGTGTATTAAAAGATGTACCTAGTATCATCTGAGAGTTATCAATCTAGTCTGCGAGATAATGTTAGGTTGATCTACCTAATATACCATCTGGGGGTTATGAACCTAGACAGAAAGATAGCATTAGGTTATCTGTGTTTATTTTTTATTTGTAGTGTATTAAAAGATGTACCTAATATACCATCTGAGAGTTATGGACCTAGACAGAGAGATAGTGTTAGGTTATCTGTGTTTCCTAACCTAGATTATTCTGGTCTATACCATGCAGTTATAAATATAATAGATTTGGTATCTACCATACAGATTGGACAGCATGGTGAGTAGATATACTACTAGGCTATATTTTACAAGAATAACAAGGTTCACAGTTAAGGATCTTTTCTACCATTTGGTCCTTGGCCAAACCTCTTGGCATTGATCTTTCCAGGATTATCTGTACCTATTAACGACTGGAATTATGAGTGAAGAATTTTACATGCTGACTGAAGAAAGAGCAGCAGTTTGTTCCTGAAGAAACTTGAAAAAAATACCTGATTCTGGAACCTTGAAAGTTTGCCATGCTGGCTACAAAGAACAGAACAATGAATTATTATTTATACATATATATTTGCAGCATTTGGAGAAGCAGTATTGAATGTATTGGGTTGTTTAGTACCATTTCTAGAACATGAACTACTAGATACACTACCTTATACTGTAGCAGCTACATTTGCTGTCTTTCCTTCTACTATCCATAAAGATATCATAGATTTACTATGTTCCAGCTTACTGCCCATGACTTTAGGTAAGACAAGATCCAAGACACAATATTGCGTTCATAAAGGATATCTATGGAAGTATTGTTTGGTGTTCTTATGTAACCCCTTGAGTGCCAAATATCCTGAATAAGTACTCTTTCAAGTAAACAGATATACTCATAATGTCACTATATCAAGGATATTCAGATACTAAATTTGACCAGAAAAATGGCTCACACCCCTAATTGTATCCCCACTCCATTTTTTATTTTTTACAAATTTAAAGATAAGATACTTTTTTGTCCCAAAATATGTATTAGAATGCACTAAATTAAGTGAATTTTTAGAAAAAAAGGAAAAATCTCTCAGAAGCTCCATCAGAGGATTGTCACTATTATGCCTCCACAGAGTTGACACACTTTGAATTCAACCTTGATTCAATCTGCACCCTATTTGTATCCCCAATTACTTGGTGATTCATACTTTTTTTAAGTACAAAATTTGCAAATTTGGCAGTGAATCCTTTTGATAGAAATGTAACTTACATACAATCACATAATTATCCACAAATACTGGTTTAGTGTAACTAGAGAGTAAAACTAAGCCCTTGGTATATATTCTATGCCTATGTTTTTCCCCAAGGATTTGATGGATGTTTAGAGCCAACTTATGCCAGTGAATCTGCTGCAGCTATTATTACCATGGTGTTTGAACATACAGATAATGCAGGTAGGCAACACATATATAATAGTCATAAATATAATATACACTTCATATAATATATTAACCCTTTCAATCCTAGCGACCGGTTTACCGGCCACACACTAACCCACACAATATATACCCGAGCAGCCAGTATACCGGCCGTCACACGCTTTTCCTTTTATTACTTGGAGTTCAGGCTATATGACGTTATATTTCATTTACACTCAGGGTTCAAAGGATTAAAGCATATAACTTTTGTGAAATCACTAATTGTTTGGTAACAGCAACTGCAATAGCCACTCAGTAATTTATCACACAATTATGTGCCTGGGCTGACTGATAAATCTTGAAAGGGTACCCATAATATCTTTTAGATATTCCATATAAACAGTATCTAAAGAATTAGATATTTCAGCATTCATAAAAAATAAAACAATGAGTTGACTTGTAATAAAGGAAAAAAAAATCACATGATAATGTGCTGTCTACTTTAGAGATCTTAGTTTTGAAAATAATATAAAGAAAAATTGCTTAAGGGAATTTTTAGTTTTAGAAATTTGTATTACAAATCTGATGGTATTTCATTGTTCTTGAATAATTTTGGTTGAGACTGAATAATGACAGTGATTTGTGTTTTTCAGCATTTCATTCTCAAATTGTTGAAAGTTTCATGGCTATGAAGAAAACAGTTATCAATGTAAGTTTCATTATTCCAAATATTGACTCTAAATGCAGTAAATTTTGATTGAATTTAACACATAAAAACAAATTTGGATTTCATTGACTTCGCTTCAGTTTATCTTGTTTGTATTTTCTTCAGGATCTAATCAGTATTATTGCCTATGGTTCACCTAAAGCTAGAGTTCCTGCAGCTCATTTATTATTCTATTACTGGCCTCAATTAAACCCAGCATTAACTGATAGAAGGGGAATCCATTATAAATATTGTGGTAGGTATTCCAAAGTTGTCATAAGTTTTTAGATTTTAACTGGCATTGAACGACATTTTATGTTTAATCACATTATGGTGTGACAAACCCTACCATGGTAGACAATAGACATGTCTGGCCAAAAGAGTCGGAACAACATTTTTGTTGGGTTACAATATGGCCTCATATTTCTTTGTAATATGAATATTACTTTGTAATCTGAATATTTCTTTTTAATCTGAATATTTCTTTTTAATCTGAATATTTCTTTTTAATCTGAATATTTCTTTGTAATATGAATATTTCTTTGTAATATGAATATTTCTTTGTAATATGAATATTTTGTATTGTCACCTGTTGCTATCTAGATATTTAACTTATATCTTATGTAAGATACCATATAATTGTGAATATAGTGCCCACCCTTTTCAACACAGTCACTATGACAATGGTGGCTATCAAAGTTATCATTTGGATTAAAAATCTCACCAAACTACTACTAAACTACTATTAATTACCTTTCTTTAAATTTATTAAATGCTGCCTTTTTAGGAAATATGGAAATAACTGGTAAGTTTTGGGTGTCCAGCTTACAGTTTTGCTTTCAATTCAGATGATAAAATTCTTTGTATTATACTATTTATAGCATTTGGCAGATTTGTTTGAATCTGTAGACTGTGTGTTTTTTTGGTCTACACCTTATAGATTGGTTCCCTTATTTTCATCTATGAAAATGAAAATGCTAATATAGAAAGTAGAGGTGTTCTAATGACTTGGAAAAATACCAGTTTGTCTCACATGTCCAAAATTAATTCATAATTAGCTAAATTAGAAGAGAAATACCAGCAGAATTCCAATGAATGGCCGATCAAGAAAGTCAAGAAGTCTTTTTTTTGTTCATCCAGACTGTACATAAATGGACATTTATGATTGGTTAATACTCTGAATTATATGCAATAAGAACATAATGACAGAAGAATACATGATATTTCATTAGAAACACCAATTAATCAAATAGTTTGCTTAATTCGACACTAAAAAATAAGGAAACCCATCTTTAAAGCTGCATTACTTTGATAATTGCATTGCATTTGATTTTTCAGCATGGAAGCCATTACAGTGTCAACGTGATACTTGTCCTAATGAAAGAAATAGTCAAGCTGTGAAGGTATATATTCTCAAGTTTTATGTAATCATATTTGATAAGAAGAAGGGGATGGAATCTTCCTTTGACCTTATTTCTTTTCACAAAAAATGAAGAACAGCCCCATCGCAAGGGTGTGGTCCATGGGGGCTAGGGCCCCAGTAAGTGAGAATTAAGCCCCAGCAAAATCGTCTTCAGTTCATGTTTTATCATATGTTGTAGATGTGTTTAAATCCAGCATTAGCTATACATTCTGGAGACACGCCACCTCCACTGTATATCTGTAGTGATTGTGCTGAACAGTTAGGAAGAGAAAATGAATATATGGTAGATTTATTACTACCAGTTAATTATGTCTCTACTATTTGTGAAAATAAGGTAATTTTGATTTAAGATTTTTGTATCCGCTAAAGCAACATGGATGTCACAAGAATATTCCAGGATCCAATTGAAGGGAAGAATCTGATTGGATACCTTGTAAAGCTGTCTCAATTGATCATGCAACTTATTCAGTTCAAGCCTTTGCATCTTTACATCAGTGTCTTAATTACAGCCAACAAATGTTTTTTGTTTTCCGTGAACCTTTCCTCAATCGCCTCGTCCTAGTTGTAAATGAATAGGGATACCTTTGAATTTTCTACCCTGTCAGTGATGCAAGTGTGCTGATATGAAAAAAGCGCTTAATCTTTCATATGGGACAGTAAACCAAGGCCCTGTGCGCTACAGGCTGTGCACGTTAAAGATCCCTCGACAGTTTGAGATCAGGCTGCTGTTCTTTCAAAATTTTCCTCATTGCACACTGCCAAGTGTCATGTAACAAAATTTCATTTCATTTCATTTGCTAGATCTTAGCTACGTTAATCTCATATTAATGATAATCTTTTTGGATTTTTGTCTTGTAGAATTGTAGATCAGAACAGAATCTTGCAGTCTGTACATGTTTTTCTATAGAATGTGCCAGTTTTAATGGTAATAGACCAATCAGATACTGTAAAACATGTTTTGAACAGAAACACAGTAATAGACTGGAAGAGAATCATATAACACATAGTAATATAGCTGATATATGGAGCTGTACACCAGCATTACAGAGATACCTTGTTGATGCTATTGTTAGGTAAGTGATGTTCTAATGAATACCACAGGATTTCCCAATGTTCTAATGAACTTGAGATCATTTGCTGGCTTACCTGGAGATCCTTGTTTCAGTACAAGCCTAGGCAGACATACATGACATATTGTTAATGCAGTTTCTGACTGTTGGGGTTACAAGCCCAAGGGGCTGACATGAGAAAAGCATCATGTCTTTCGAATGGTACAAAAGTTGAAGGTTGGGAATGAGAAAGTTGGGTTTGAAACCGATGTTTTGGCGATTTGGAATGGGAAAAAAGTATAATTATCATGTATTGTTAATCATATGATTATGTCCTTATTGCATATAATTAAGAGTTTTAACCAATGGTAAATGTCCATTATGTACAGTCTGGATAATCAAAAGGACTTTTTGACCTTTCTTGATAGGTCACTCATTGGAATTTTGCTGGTAATTCTCTTCTAATTTATCTAATTATGAATTAATTATGGACATGTGAGACAAACTGGTATTTAAGTTATTAGAATACCTCTACTTTCTACTGCAATTTCAAACCTCCTACTTTGTTTAGTCTGTTAAAAGAAGCACAACCCATAGAATCAAAGCGTATGGTAGAAATGGGTGAAGAACAGAGAAGATTGAATGATGAAGATGAGTGTTATGAGGTAGAGGAAGGCGGAGATCATAAATTATTAAGTAGATATGGTATCTGGTTAATGGTAGAACTATGTCGTCCTAAAAATGATATACCCATTGTGAGTGGTGCTGGATTTTTTGATTTTTTTTCACTAATTTTCCTATCCACTTGAATTTTTTTATATGATATTCCTTGAAAATACAGATAAATAGTCTTGTAAAATGAATATTTTTGAGATGGTGAAAAAAATAAAAACCAAATCAGAAATTTGTGGTGAGGTTTTGAGTATTATTCCCCCTTTGTTAAAGAAATTTGACACTCAACGTTTTGAGTTTTTTTTTGCTGCGCTATTTCTTTTGAACATCATCTCAACTGTAGGCCTATTACATTTGTCAAGCATCGTTTACTATAAAAAGGTAATACATATTCATGATGGCAAGTGATTTTTAAACTGCATATAGCTTTTTTTTAAAAGTGTATATAACAATTGTAGGAAATTCTAGGTAGATTATTGGGGATATTATTTCAATGGTTTGATGCTACAGCTTATTTACCTGATGGTAAGGGAATTATATACTATATCGCTACTAATTTCTACTATACTATAGTCATTTAGTCACCATTTACAAAGTAAATGGGTCAATAAAGCAAGATATGTGCACTTAAGGACTGTCCTATGAATGTTTCCCTCAGTCACAACTGCAGATCTCTGTCAGTCTTCATTAGTCAGAGCAGGAAAGTAAGATGTTAAGCTCAATTTGATTTCTTCTGTAATGATTTTTGGACAACTATGAAATATTTTAATAATATCATCTATAAATGTGATATCTTTTTTGTTTACAGATAATGTTGGCAATGCATTGGAAAGACTTAAACCAGAGGTAAAAAAATTTTTTTTTAATTTGATATCATGGAAAAAACATTCATAGTTTTAATTATGTATATCTATACAAGCTTGTCTCATATCACAAGATGCCTTTCTGTATTTTAATCAACCTTAGATTTTTTATAAATATTTTTCCCAACTTTGATATTATTATACATGAACATGAGGGTAGCCAAGTATAATTTTTAAATTCATTGCAATGAGAAAGATTATTAGTTTTATTCATATATTTTGTGTTAATAAAACACATGTTATATTTCAGTATATCTATAGTTTGCTACAAGATATTAATAAAACACATCTTATAATTCAGTACATCTATAGTTGGCTACAAGATATTAATAAAACACATCTTATAATTCAGTACATCTATAGTTGGCTACAAGATATTAATAAAACACATGTTATGTTTCAGTATATCTATAGTTGGCTACAGGATATTAATAAAACACATGTTATATTTCAGTACATCTATAGTTGGTTACAAGATGTTAATAAAACACATGTTATATTTCAGTATATCTATAGTTTGCTACAAGATGTTAATAAAACACATCTTATAATTCAGTACATCTATAGTTGATTACAAGATGTTAATAAAACACATGTTATATTTCAGTACATCTATAGTTGGCTACAAGATGTTAATAAAACACATGTTATATTTCTATATATCTATAGTTGGCTACAAGATGTTAATAAAACACATGTTATATTTCAGTATATTTATAGTTGGCTACAAGATATGAATAAAATACATGTTATATTTCAGTATATCTATAGTTGGCTACAAGATATAAATAAAACACATGTTATATTTCAGTATATCTATAGTTGGCTACAAGATATAAATAAAACACATGTTATATTTCAGTATATCTATAGTTGGCTACAAGATGTTAATAAAACACATGTTATATTTCAGTATATCTATAGTTGGCTACAAGATGTTAGTAAAACACATGTTATATTTCTATATATCTATAGTTGGCTACAAGATATAAATAAAACACATGTTATATTTCAGTATATCTATAGTTGGCTACAAGATGTTAATAAAACACATGTTATATTTCAGTATATCTATAGATGGCTACAAGATATTAATAAAACAAATGTTATATTTCAGTATATCTATAGTTGGCTACAAGATGTTAACAAAACACATTTTGAAGTTATTGTCTCCTGTCTGTTACCACATCCTGTAGAATATTCTAGAGTTGGTGGTTTCTGGTAAGTATCTTTGTAATTTTAGATTGTTGCAATTTAAATTAACGTCTGCTTACAGTGATGTGAAAAAAACTGGGGGTTTTTGGGGTCAAATGATTGCACACAGTTTCCCTTTAAGTCGTAGCTTCACAACCTTAAATAACAAAGGTTACATGACTCAAGACCCAAATTTCTTACTTTTTCAGGGACACTTTAGCCACTAGAACTGCTCAAATTAAAGAAGGGTTAAACTGTTTCTTCTGTCTTGTACCATACAACATTATAACCTTTGAAGTACGTATATATTTTCCCTTATAGAGTAACTATTTTTTGTTTTTCTGAGCATAGCTGCATAGAACTATGGGAATAAAATTCATGCAGAGCAACAAAAGTATTGTCTTTAGTGCCTATCTTTTTTAGTAGGCCAATATGAATTTTAGAGGATTATAAAGAGATTATCTATATTTTATATGCATATCGTGGACACTGATAGCAGAAAAAAAGATATATGTATGTGAAATTTTTTTCCACTGGTAGATTTGGGATTATGTTATGCCATATTGGTTAGAAGCTATTAGAACAGAGATAGCAGAAGAAGACCTACATGAATTAAGAGTATTGTTGAGGTAAATAATATATTAAGCACCGATTTATTACATTAATTGGTCTAAAATTTGGTTCTTGTTTCAAATATGAGGTATTTGCCTCCATTAAGCTACAGAATTTAATTCTGAAAAGCCAGCTGTGTTTCTCTTTGAAAAAATGTTATTTTAATGAAAATAGCAAGTTGATATGTATCATTTCAGGAAAGCATTTGATATTGATATGTGTCCTTTGCCGTTCACACTAGAAAAGATGTATCATTTCATAACAGAGAGATTTGCTGATAGCAGTGCTTCTGTTCAGGAACAGGCCTTACAATGGCTACAGGTAATAATTCACCATAGAAGTAAACAACAAGAAAGCAAATGTCCACAAATTCCGGGGACTGGTTTCTTGAAAAGTGAACTAAAAAATGCTTTGAGTTGTTTTTTTCGTCTGAATGATTAATCACTAAAATTAATATTTCAATTTTGTTTTGGTAATCAATCAGATAACTGTTTTCATTTCTTAATTTTACAATGGTGGCTTTTATTGTAATATTTTTTTGAAATGTGGTTTATCAAAAGACCATCCTTTTATCGCTTTGATTTCCAGTTTAAGATTTGGTCAAAACCTCCATTTCAGATACTCTCATCATTGGATATAATCATTCCGATGCATCTTTTTTTAAAAATGTGCAAAGTTGGAGTGGAGCAGATTAATTCAGATCCTGAAGATGTGACTAATGGAACAGAGAGGAAGTCCAACATTAATACCGATCATATAGCTGACAGTAGAGAAGAGTACCCTGCACCATTAAGTCCAGAGCGTGAACCTCATTATAACACCAGTTATGTTTATGAGAAAGAGTCTGAGTTGATCTTACCCAGTTTTATTATGATGTTAGATATGGTGCTGAAACAGGTAAAAATGTTGATCTTTTAATGGCATACTAGAAGCACATGTTATATAGATAAATAAGATAATTATTGTGAATAGATACTTCTAGAATATTACGTACAACGTTTCAATATGGTTCTCACATCGTCATCAGGAATATAATAAATACTAACAACAAGGAAACATAAGTATATATAGGCCACAAAGACTCGTGATCTTGTCATGAATGGGACAGATTCACATCTTGGTCTTAGAAACAGGAATGTTTTAGCTGAGCTAATCAGTAATAGTGTTCACAGCCCATCGTCAAAATGTGAGCCTTCAAATTCATTTGTGTCCAGAATTATCCACATTTGAATGTTAAAATGATGACTCAACATTTATTGAGATTCAGCCATATATAAAAAAGAAATATGAAAATAGAATATAGAAATAGAAATTCCTAGTTTGAGGTATTTTGGAAGGATGCGATTACATGCAGTTTTAATCACTCTAAAAACTAGTTACATATATTCAAGATCCAAAAAATTCATTGTTTGTATACACCTCGGCTTAAAATGTAAAGTAAGAAATAGTAAGAAATGGTCCTTATTGTTACCCCTAAAAAGATAAAATTGTTAAATCATTATTGAGGGACGTCTATTTATAGATGGAGCTACAGGAGTCACCCAAGCATCTTGGTATTTATAATGAAACAAGTAGAGAGGTCATGCAGCTATTGACTTGGATGTTACGTAAAGATTGGGATGGTGTTCACACCTGTTTATCAGAGGTCCAGAAAGTCAACTGTGAGTTCTGTCAGAACATTGCTCTGTGGCACCAACTAGCAGCTCAGCTCATGGAACATATCTGTCCAAGAGATCCTCTGAAGATTCCACCTAAAGAACTACCCAGATTTGATGAAGTAAAGAACAATATCCAAGCTGCTGATAATTCAGGTATTAGAATAATTTCTAAGTTTATCCAAGTCTCCTACTGACTAGAGCTCAACCAATATTACTGACACATGTTTCAGATACACATTCCACATCAGGACAGTCAATTTGATATATTCTGACATACTGTTTCGGTCAAATAATGCTTTTCAAGAGAGACAGCTCTGGAAGTGGGGGATAAATACCTGAAATTGGATTTTAGACAAATAAGAGCTGTGGTCGCTCAGGGAAAAAGAGACTTGCTCATTTTTCTAGTGGTGGGGTTCAAAGAATGAGATGATGCCAAAGACTATTCATTTTAAGACCATTCAATGGATGGAAATTGGGAAAGGGTACCACATAAGTATTCTGGTTCTCTTATTGAACACCCATGAAATGTCCTACAGTATTTGCGTCCCATACCAAAAGAGTAGGATGTAAAACTCCATTTCACAATTTTGTTTTATGACATACTTTCTGTTGTAGAATTTATAGATCCATTATTAAGTAAAGATGAAGAAGCCAAAGAACCAGAATATGACATCCATTCTTTTCCTATATACTTACAGTTGTATGATACTTTACTAAAGGTAAGTTCATGCTTTTCCTAAATACTTACAGTTGTATGATACTTTACTAAAGGTAAGTTCATGCTTTTCCTAAATACTTACAGTTGTATGATACTTTACTAAAGGTATGTTCATACTTTTCCTTTGTTATCTTCTGATATTAGGTTATAACAGGGTATATGTACTGATGTTGATATTATGTTCTTGTACAGGGATTATGTAACATAACTGATGTTGATATTATGTTATTATACAGGGATTATGTAACATAACTGATGTTGATATTTTGTTATTTAATGTAAATGATATTATTTTAATTTACAGGGATTATGTAATGAAACTGGTGTTGATATTATGTTGTTTTATAGGGATTATGTACTATATTTGATTTTATGTTATTTTGAAGGGTTTCTATAATTTAGCAGATGTAGGTATTATGTTATTTTACAGGGATTATGTAATATAACTGATGTTGATGTTATTTAGTGTAACTGATATTATGTTATTTTTTTTACAGGGATTATGCAATGAAACTGGTGTTGATATTATGTTATTTTACGTGAATTATGTACTGTATATGATGTTGATTTTTTTATTTTAAAGGGTTTTTATAATTTAACTGATGTTAGTATTATGTTATTTTACAGGGATTATGTAATGAAACTGATGATGATGATGTTATGTTATTTTACAGGGATTATCTACTGTACCTGATGTTGATTTTATGTTTTTTTAAAAGGGATTTTATGATTTAACAGATGTTAGTATTATGTTATTTTACAGGGATTATGTAATGAAACTTTATGTTGATATTATGTTATTTTACAGGGATTATGTAACGTAACTGATGTTGATGCTCTATATAACCTGTTGTCATCATTTAAATATCTGTGTTTACATGGTGAATGTTTAAACTATACAGTTAGTCAGTATAATCTGTATATACAATATACTCTAAAGACACAACTCATTCCAAAGTGAGTTGATTTTATTTTCACAAATTAATAATGAGCCGGGTTGTGTAGGAGTTAAGTGGCATGCTGTTACCATAAGTTCTTGCGTGCACCAAAATCGATGACATCTTTATATATACAAGTGAAAATTAAGCTTCTTTATTATCACTATCCAAAGGATCCTTAATGTAATAAAGTGATCAAATCTTGTGATGTTTTGAATTACTTGCTTCCAAATTCTGATTCTATACAAAGGCAAAGTTCCAGAGTCTCAAAGTTCCAAGCCTTGCAGAACATGGGCTTCAAACATGTACTTCAATATTTAATTGCAGTCTATGGAAACTACTTCAGTGTGAACACTCACAATTATCAACAGTAGCTGTACCATTATTGGTCCATTCCATAACTCTACCTACTGGAGCTGATGTATTCTGGAATCTAGTTGAAGAGTGTTATGGACATGATGATTGGAGAGCTAGATTCTCAGCAGGTTTGTTCTGCTATTCTATAATATCATTTCTTTGGATCATGGTTAGTAAAAATAGTAAAAAAATTAGTAAAGTCTACCATATTTATATTTTTTTTGTTTTCTTTGCCAAAAGCAGCAAACCAAGAGGTTTTGTTTATTCCATTAACAATGACAGAGGTTTTGGCCTATTTTTTTGACAATAACACAGCAAGGTTTTATGTCAATTATAAAAATGATTAAAATTTCAAGATTTTTGATGTCTATCAAATCAAAGCCATTTCAATTTTTTTTTCAATTTGATTTGCAAATAGATTGCCACATGTATAATAGGCGGTTTCTACCTTTCTGTAATGTTTCTATTTTAAGTTGAGAAAGTAACAGTAATGGCAAGATGTCTTGATACAGATTCCATACGAAATAACCAAGTTGTACAAACTAGTCTAGCTCATGCTTTCTGTCATCTTATTGGTTCTGTAGAAGATATTAGTGCTGGAGTGTCCCAGAAAACTATCATGTATATGGATACCATTAGACCCGCTGCTCTCAAAGTAAGTAAACTTTGAAATCAGTTTTATTTTGTTTTTCTCTTTTTTTTTGGACATATTTGTATCTATGCACTTTTTTGGATAGTCCTTGTAGGGGATGTGGGCTCTAATCTTGGTCAGGTGACGTTTTGTAGTCTACAAAGTTGTGATACAGATTAGCCAAGAGATTTGACCAATGATTAGCTGGTAGTTGAGTGAAGAGTTCTGAACAGGTTTGTCTGTTCCAATTCTGCTCTCACGGAAGTGGAATATGTCATCTATTCCCTTCCCCTTCAGTCTTCTTGTTCAAAATTGCTGTTTCCTTATTGTGTGTTTCTTTGCTTTCAGTGTTTATGTCATTGTTTAGAGTTTCAATTTGATACAGTTATCAATGATAGAACAATGATCTTAGATAGGATGCATCTATTAGCTTCAGTTTTACCAGATCATAGAATATTAACATGGGAGTTCTTTCTGGGTAGATTTGATACCTTATCTCTAGAGGCACAAATTGATCTGGAAAATAGTGGAGAGATTCCGTATCCACAAGGTAAGTGAACTGTTTATTGAGAATTTGGATGTTTTAAGTAATTGCTCTTGCCAAAGTAAATACATGTTGATATCAGTTGTTACTATGATAGAATTTAAAGATGGGTTCCCTTATTTTCATTTATATACTTATATGAATAGAAAGTAGAGGTATTTTTTATGACTTGGAAAAATACCAAATGCCCAATGATTTAACTTTTTAGATCTTACTAGTAGTGACAGACATAGTGAACATTTCCTGCGTAAATTAAATCGAGCTAGATTAGCACTAGCAAGAACAGACAGTATTAGATCTGTGAGCCTGAGTTTTCAAGTCAAACCACCATATAGACGTGCTGTATCTGTACCAGTACATCTTATAGCTAAAGGTACGACTCCACCAAAATGTAAGTATATATCTATTCCACAGTGTGCCTTCAATAACATTTCCATCTTAACAAAAGTGCACTTGTGTATTAGTAAATAAGAAATATATATACATTTTGATCCATTTCAGAGTTTTCGATCCAATATTTCCTTTGATTAGCTAAAATGAAAATTTATCACAACGATTTGTGAATCAAATCAAATTGTAGCCTATATTTTTTTCATGTGAATTTTTTTGCCAAATTGTCATATACATCAACTGTATAACAATGGAACTAATGACTCTGGCAAGATTTTTTGAAGGTTTACCATTAGAACATTTTAAATTACTACCTAATCTTTAAGAAATGCAAATCAAAATTAAACAAAAATCAGGACAATCTGTCAATCAAATCAATTTGTATATTTAAAATTACTATTGGAACATTCTAAATTCCTACATAATCTTTAAGAAATGCAAATCAAAATTAAACTTGATTAGCCAAAGCTAAAATTCAGTGTTATTCAAATTTTTCACTCTAAATTGAACTCTGCCGATTTATGAATAATGACATATTGCACTTTGTGTACTTTTTCCACTTTTCTCCCCTCTGAGATTTAGGAAGAGAATTAACATGTAAAAAGCGCATCGTCATTTGAATATGATAAGACACTGAGGCTCCATTTACTATAGACATTGCATGTTATAGGGCAGGCTGCCTTGCCTTGAACTTTTCTTTATTCACTTCGTTTCAAGTCGTTTTTGCCAAAATTGATGTCATGACTTTAGTAAGTCTATGACCCTATCTTCCTTAAGGTGAGGATCCTTAAAGATCCAAACTGAAAGAATGAAATGATTTATCGTATGAAGTCTTCTCTCTCAGCTATCACTTGATCCATGTTAAAAATTAGTCTAGACTGAATTTTTAGCCTTTTACACATAGATTAAACGAATGCATTTAAAGGGATTGTAAAGAAGTTTTCTAAATTTTTAATGCGTATCGAGGACACTGATAGCATCAATTTACACCATACCAATTCTTAATCATACGTCTGTGGTTCCTGCAATTCCACTAAAACTAAGTGTTTGATGACATAACTTATCGTGAAGGGACTTATGAGATAAAGCATATTTTGTTGATGACGATTAGATTTAGTGGAATCGCAGGAACCACAGACGTCTGAATGGAAATTGGAATGGTGCAAATTGATACTATCAATGTCCCAGACACACCTAAAAAAATGAAGAAAACCTCTTTACAATCCCTTTAACTAATATTCTAACCAACTGTTGTATTTCAGTTGTTAAAGATATTCCTTGTGTGAGACAGCAGTCAGCACCTCAATTTCACCTTCAATCTCGAATGTCTTCTAATGTTAATCTAGGATCTTATAGTAATGTCTTATTTGCTGGTATGTCTTTTCTCTTCTAACATTCTGTCTATTTCACTCACATTTTTATACGCCCACATGAAATATATTGTCGTCACCCATGTCCGTCTGTCGGTCCGTCCACAATTGCTCGTAAACACTCTAGAAGGCGCAATTCTTGACGGATTTTGATAAAACTTAGTGTGAGTGTTTGCCATCACCCAGGGATGAACCCTATCAAAAATCAGAAAAATCCAAAAATATTTAGTATGAGTTATTGCCCTTGTTCTTGAAAACGAGTTCAACTCAAGAAGGTTCAATTCTTGACAGATTTTGACTATTTTAAAATCAAAGCTGTCGGTGTATATTACATTGCCTGGCAAGCTATCTTCTATAACTGTTTATCTTTAGCATGAAGCAGACGACAAATTTTTGTCAAGAAATATTTTTCCAACGCTAAAAGTTTGTTAAGCCTGCTGTTTTGTGTGCATAAAAAGAATTTGTAAACTGTTTTGAAATTCAGAAATATTTGTTTGGGACCAATGGACAATTCCGCGTGAATTCTGAGACCGTCAGATGGCTTAAGGCTTCTTTAAAAAAAAAAAGAAAAAAAGAATCAATTTTGGGTTTAAAACTCACAAATTTCGAGCTTTGGAAAAATCTCCCATTTACCCAAACTCCAGATTTTTCAAGGCAAATCTCCAAATTTTTTTCCCTGACCTGTACACATGCATGCCAAAGGTGCTATTATTAGCAACTAAATTTAGACTCGGTAGAATTAATCCATTCAATCATTACTAAAGGTACAATTTAATTCCATTATGATATATGCTTGAGAAAGTCAGGTATTGATATGGACTGCGGCTCTATAAATGGTTATCTGATTATGAAAGTTGAAATGCATGTAACCTGTGAATATGCAAAACAGTGGATGCTTGCTTGCTGAAAGTTATGCATAAAAATATCCAGAGATGTTTCTATCTTTTCTATTCTTCGATGATATCTTTATTGGGAAGATTATAATTCTGACGAAAGGGCCTATACTATAGTGCTGGGTATCGCCAAGCCACGGTATAATACGCATCGCGATACAAGGGTCATGATACGATATGTATCGCGATATGGCGTATTAGGATAAAAATTAACACTACATACATCGATTCACCAATATATCGTGCCATCACTAATATACTAAGTGTTCTTTGTGAAAATAAAGATTAACTGTAAAAATTTCAGAAGATATATTTGTAATTAATTGACCCTTGAATAATACACGTTTACTAATTAACTGAATCTCATTATGTTACCTAGTAACAATGTTTTTTACTTATTTTCCGTGCTGTAATGAAATTTGTGTATCAGATTGCATAACACCAGTGGATATTCTTAAAAACAGCTTAAGACAATTGTCAACTTTTTTACATAAAAAGTATTCTGTCAAAGCCAATTTTTCTAGCTATGTATTTATCTTTAAATGAATAATTTTTTTTATGAATTTTAAAGAATGACTCATTCCTATTTTATCCTCTGAATTTTTGTTAGCTTTGAAGTTTTTATAATGATATGAAATTTGTAGGTGGACAGTTCCGAGAATTTTCAGATGAAGAAAGTAATTTTGCAGCTCTGTTACAGAGAGCTATGGATTTAGAAGGTGTAGATAGGCATACTGTTTATCAATTAGTAGCTCTCTTATTGAAGGTAATATTAGTCTTTTCAATGAAAATTTAAAAGATTAATTGAATCAATGTTAAAAAAGCTAAATTTCTGGTTAGACAATTACTGACTGCTATACAACCTCACAAATCATTCATTTTTTAAATTAATTTAGAACTCTGAAATCAGTTAGTAGTATTTTGCATTTAGCTTTTTTGTTTTTTTTAGTTTATGGCCACATATAAAGAAGATCCTAAAAGAGATAATACAAGAGCTCAGGTAGGAATTTTATTTTCTGATAACCAAATTTAGTTCATTTCCCATGGAAAGATCAAAATTAAGAAAGGGCTAAATTATAAACAGACTTTATATTCCCAATAAAGATATTCTTATTATTATTCTTATACTTATTCTTATTCTTATTCTTTTTCTTATTCATATTCATATTCATATTCATATTCATATTCATATTCATATACTTATACTTATACTTATTCTTATACTTATACTTATTCTTATACTTATTCTTATTCATATACTTATTCTTATTCTTATTCTTATTCTTATTCTTATACTTATTCTTATTCCTATTCCTATACTTATTCTTATTCATATACTTATACTTATACTTATACTTATACTTATTCTTATTCATATACTTATTCTTATTCTTATACTTATACTTATACTTATTCTTATTCTTATTCTTATACTTATACTTATTCCTATACTTACTCTTATACTTATACTTATTCTTATACTTATTCTTATACTTATTCTTATTCTTATTCTTATTCTTATTCATATACTTATTCTTATACTTATACTTATACTTATTCTTATACTTATTCTTATACTTATACTTATTCTTATACTTATACTTATACTTATACTTATTCTTATTCATATACTTATTCTTATTCTTATACTTATACTTATACTTATTCTTATTCTTATACTTATACTTATACTTATACTTATTCTTATTCTTATACTTATACTTATACTTATACTTATACTTATTCTTATTCATATTCTTATTCTTATTCTTATACTTATACTTATTCTTATTCTTATACTTATACTTATACTTATACTTATTCTTATTCTTATTCTTATTCTTATTCTTATTCTTATTCTTATTCATATTCATATTCTTAAGCATGGTGCAGAAAAGTAGGACGTAAAACTCCATTCATTTCATTTCATTTCATTTCTTATACTTAAGTGAGATGTGTATATAATTTGTAATGTATATGTAGATATATTTAATATATTATAGAATACAGTTTTGAGACATCTTAATATATTACTTGGTTATAATCAAACAGAGAAATCATTCAGTGTACCACCATATAAACTGAGATCTTCTGCTGTATTTAATGCCTATTTATCTGGTATACCATTTGTAAGTATTGCTACTGTTGTTAATGTATATCTCGGCCAGTTAGTATAATTGTGTTAAATAGAATATGCTGACCTTTTTGTCTTAAAATATATCTGAATCCATTGAATAAGATAAGATTTTATAATTTCTATTGAAGTTAACACACTGCCATCTAAGAAATGCAAGGAAAGAGACATGTGTTTTGATAGTGTTTAACCCATTAAACCTGTTCGTGTTAAATATATATGAATTGCCTGTAACATCATATTAACATCATCTGTTTCAATTGCTATAACCAAATTTTGAAATTTATTTATAGAAAATGTGTCCATAACTATCTTTGCCAATTTTGATGGAAATTTTTTTGGTAAGTGATCATAATGATATACCTTTTCTTGTTTAGGTATTGGATAATAATTTTAAACTTGGTAATACTATATTACCTATAACATTACTATTATTACAATATAGTCCCTCACCACAGAGGTATGCTTCAGATTACCAACCACCAACATATAGTTTATACCATCTTTCTCAGTATACCAGAATATCTTGGTTAAGAGCTTTATTGGTTATATTATACAAGGTAAGTTTATAATCCTTGTCAAAATTTCCCCTATTACACACTGCATGGTATTGACCTTCATAAATTTAATAAAGAGAAGTAATAGTATGGATAGTAGTTAATACTGTAGATCTTCAGTATCATCTATTTTCTTTCAGTATCAGATAAATAGTATCACCTTTTATCCAGATGCTAGTACAGATTGTGGTTAATACTGTAGATCCTCAGTATCATCATTAAACTCTATTTCCTTTCAGTATCAGATAAATACTATCACTTTTTATCCAGATGATTGTAAAAAATGGGGTTAATACTGTAGATCCTCAGTATCATCATTAAACTCTTTTCCTTTCAGTATCAGATAAATACTATCACTTTTTATCCAGATGCTAGTACAGATTGTGGTTAATACTGTAGATCCTCAGTATCATCATGAACTCTATTTCAGTATCAGATACACAGTTCTCCAGTATCAGCTATCACCCAGACTCTGGTACAGGTTATGGTGAATACTGTAGATCCTCAGTATCATCATTAAACTCTTTTCCTTTCAGTATCAGATAAATAGTATCAGCTATTATCTAGACTAAAGTACACAGTGTGGTTAATAATGAAATCCTCAGTATCATCATGAACTCTATTTCAGTATCAGATAAATAGTTCTCCAGTATCAGCTATCACCCAGACTATGGTACAGATTGTGGTGAATACTGTAGATCCTCAGTATCATCATTAAACTCTTTTCCTTTCAGTATCAGATAAATAGTATCAGCTATTATCTAGACTAAAGTACACAGTGTGGTTAATACAGTAGATCTTTAGTATAATCATAAAAATGTATTCACTTCAGTATCAGATAAACAGTTCTCCAGTATCAGCTATCATCCAGACTCTGGTACAGATTGTGGTGAATACTGTAGATGCTCAGTATCATTGTTGTAAATCATCAGAAGATGGGGCACCTCAAACTTCTGGTCATAGATGTAAAGGTAGGTCATGAACTTAATTTGAAACCCTGGTGGCTGGTCAAAGGCCCCATGAAAACTCTTTGCATAAGAGTCAGACACTAGTTTGCACAACGCAAGGACAAAAGAATTTGCATTCCCTCTAAGATTTTGGATTATTCTTTAGATTTCAGTAAGACCTCTATCAGTGATCTAGAGAATATTCAAGAAACAGACACACCACCACAAAGTCCTGATAGTATAATAGAAAAAGATGAAGATGATCATACCATTCTACTTCGTGGTCAGGACGGCTCAGGTGCTGTACAGTACTTAAAGAAGACCACAGAGCGAGCTGACAGCAGTGAAGGTGTCTATTCTGATGGAGAGTCTACACCACAAACTCAAAGTCGCTTCAAAAAAGATGGAAGAAAAGTTCCCAAAGTTCGTCAACCTAAACAATTAATTGATTACTCAGAACCTGATTCTGCAGAAGAAGACACTTTGAATCAAAAATTGAATGAGAAGCCTCCAAAGGTATGTGTATTTTGGTGGTAATTTGGAATCATTCTCCTTATGAACATCACAGCATGCCAGCCGCTTGATACAGTTCTTATTGTTCATTTGTATTGGATACCAATAAGATGATTTATGCCATGTTCATCAATATCATGTGGTGTTGTGATCCTGTACCAAAAATAACTTTACTGGTTTTAATGGTTTTACAGCACTCTTGATTGCCTATAACATAAGAGTACAATTTAGAGACTCCAATCAAACAGATGTATGTGTCTTGTATGTATTTTTGCATGTTTGAAAAACCAACTCTGTGCACTAAGTTGGGTACATTCGATAAGATCAAAGATTTTATTTCAGATTATCGAAACCCAATCCAAGTTACCATTAAAACCAATCATATCTCGTGATGTAGAATCAGAGGACCAATCAGAATCACCTTGTGATTCACCAGTTCCAGTTACAGAGAAATCAGTAAAACTGAACATGGATGTCAAGGTTGAAGATGTCACTGGTGATTCAGATACCCACAGAGCAACAGGAAGTAGTACCACTGGATCTAGTAACCGTGAAGGTGGTACATCAGAACATAGTCGTGATGCTGCATCAGAAGTTGAGAGCACTGAGGAGAGTGAGAAGAATCAGACATCTGATGCTGAATCTGAGAGGAATTTAGAACATGGTGATTCTGTTGAGAATGCAGAGGACAAGAAAGGTAATTATTGACTCTAGTTGATATATAATCTTTATGGATTAGACTTAGATAACATATAATACTCCTTTTCTGTCAGAAAACATGGTTGTATTGTATTATGAAAAAAAATGGTGTATACTTTAAATGAATGTGCTTGATATGAAATTTTTGACATGCATGTGTTTTAAGAACAAGTTATTGTTAACTAGGTAGAATCCTTGCAAATTGTTGTAAATGTATTATGTTAAAGGGACGGATGCGCCATGTTTTTGACCAATCATACTTTAGTCTCAGAAACTGGATTTTTTAGCTAAGCCAAACAGTAATAATGTTTAATGCCATATATAGACAAGACATCTATAGAAATAGGAAAAGAAATTCCTAGTTTGAGATATTTTTGAAGGAATTCTGCGATTTTCAACGCCAAAATGGCGCATCTGTCCCATTATGCTGTGGAAAAGTTAACAACAAAAATTTGCACTCTACTAAAAAGTCGTGAAAATTGTCTTTATTCACAGGTGAAAGAAGAGATATTCAAGGACAGATGATCAAACCCAAATTCCGAGAAAGAAAGTCGAGAAAAACAGGAATAACAGCTGTGGAATTACACAGTATATTTCCTGAATTTGCAGAGATCTGTGAACAAGTACAAGAGACACAGAGTGATGCTTATGCTGCTACTGCTAGGTGGGTAGTTTTAGGAATTTATGTGGATTGTCACCCCAAAATATGCAGTATGCATCAAAAACGTCATAAATTATACCTTAAAAAAAGTTACTATTTGCTATTTACATCTATATCTTCTTGATCAAACTGAATTTGTTTTAAAAGGATTAATTAATAACTGAAAGCACTAATTGTTAATTAAGCAGTTTGACCTAGTTTCGGTGATAGGCTTTATAATGGCTCAATATTATTAGTTGAAAACTTTAGAATACGTAGGAGACATTTTTCTCTACCTTAAGGTGTTTATTTTAATTAAATCCTACGTAGGTTTCTAACTTAAGTCCACAAATCCCAAAACCCACCAAAATCGAAGAGTCCAACTAGAAATTATGACAAATTTATCCCTTCTTTTCAGCCATAGTAGAAAAGCAAGAAAAGCAGTCTTGTTGGCTAAGAGTAGAGATGGGTCTAAGAAGACAAAGAGTGCTATTCGTTCTGGTGAGACCATTCTGATAGAGCGATGTACAGAATGTGGTGCGGTGCTAGAATTATATGATGATGACACAATTGGGTTGTGTATTGTCGTTTTGACCACATTTATACACAGAGAACCTGAATTAGCGACACCCATGTTATTACCAATACTGCAATGTGTATCTAGGTGAGAACACTAGTTATTCATTCATTTTATTTGACCCATTTAAGTGGAACCACAATCCACATTAAAAAGACAGGAATGATATAGCTTACAGTGGGTGATGTAATTCAAAATTTTGTTTAAGGGAGCTCAATTTGACTTTAACTCCTTTGAGCCATCTATTATGCACTATGGTATAAGCAATTGATTTCAGCATTTGTATCAACATTTGATGTCTTCATTATGAATGCATTACGCATATTAATTTATTCATTATGTGGCTTCAAGACCACTGTTTTAAGTGAAAAATATTCTAATTTTTTACAGAATTGCTGCAAGTAATCAATATTCTTGGCAAGCTGAGAGGTTAGTTGGACCAAATGAGCTTTTCTGTTTTTCATTATGATAATAATAATTTTTAATGTTTCATTTGCATGGATAATGCAAGTAATAATTGATAAATATTGCAGCAACATGATATTGAAAATGATAATTATTTAATATTTCAGTAACATAATAACATATTTGATATCATAAATATATTTCATAAACCTGGTTACAAAGTGTTGATTGTTGAATATTTCAGCAATATGATAATTTGAAATGATAATAATATTATAACATAACTATAATGTTATAATGAATAAGAATATTTGAGTAACATACAAAAACAGTCGATAATTCAATAAAATCATAATGAAAATGGTAATTGTTCAATATTTTAGTAACATGATAATGTAAATGATAAATTTTTAATATTTCAGTAACATGATAATGTAAATGTTAATTGTTCAATATTTCAATAACATGATAATGTAAACGATGATTAATATTTTAGTAGCTTGATAATGTAAATAATAACTGTTTGATATTTCAGTAACATGATAATGTAAATGATAATTGTTTAATATTTCAGTAACATGATAATGTAAATAATAACTGTTTGATATTTCAGTAACATGATAATGTAAATAATGATTGTTCAATATTTCAGTAACATGATAATGTAAATAATAACTGTTTGATATTTCAGTAACATGATAATGTAAATAATAACTGTTTGATATTTCAGTAACATGATAATGTAAATGATAATTGTTTGATATTTCAGTAACATGATAATGCCTGGTAACAGTATTACTATAGCTAGGCAGTTAATAAGATGTGTTTTACATCAGTTAGCACCAAATGGAATATTTCCAATGTTATTTCAGAGCAATTTAGGTAAGTTTAATTAGTCTTGATATGCTTGTGTCACTTTGGGGTACATATAATACAAATAGATGGAGGTGGGCTCTCTAGCAGGGTAGGGTATTTGATGGAAGACAAAAATATCTTCAACTTAACGATGATTGCAAAAATGTTGCAAAAATGTAATACGTATTCATTAACATGAAAGGGTAGGACTTGATAATCATGATTTGTTTTCCAGAGCCAATATTTTGGAAGACAGTTGCTGCAGCTCTAGTGGACTTTAATGATTTAACTTGTCATGCTCCATTACAGTTCTTACTAGAGGTAATATTGACATACTTTATACCTATGTTGTATTCAGTGGTATATTTAGGTGATAATTTTTTGTGCCATTCAATCCCCCACCCATCTCTGGGGCCATAAAAAAGAAAAATGTATTCCACTTTCAATCCAACATTACTTTAGATGTATTATCTGGCTTCTTACATTAGCAAGAATGACTAGTGCCCCCTTAATTCTGCAAAGGAGCACCAGTCCTTTTGGCTTCCCTTCGACAGACATGATCTATAGTAATATCTTGGATCTGATGTCTCATCAATATCAACAATTTGAACTATGTTTGGTTGATCTAACTGCAGTTCTATTGTACAGAAATACAAAACTATATTTTGTTTTTGTTTTAGGGGTTAAATGAGAAGAAGAATCTATCACAAGATACCATCATGTTATTATTGAGTAATATATCTATTTATTTAAACTGTGTATCATTAGAGAGTTCCACAGCTATCTGGCCTGGTATACTCTGTCAGTTTGAGATTTTCTTCAGACGTCTACCAGTCTTGCTACCAGCTCCATGTGATATCACACCAGTCCTCAAGATTATTATCTCAATACTAAAAGTACCAGCTGTTGGTGGAGTAAGGGTAAGTTCATTGATATATTTTGGACAATGATAGCTGTAAATATGATAATGGGGATTGTGAGTTTGATAATTATGGTTGTGAGTTTGTTAATGATAGCTGTCAATATGATAATGGGGATTGTATGTTTGATTATGATGGTTGTGAGTTTCTTAATGATAGCTGTAAATATGATAATTGGGATTGTGAGTTTGATAATTATGGTTGTGAGTTTGTTAATGATAGCTGTCAATATGATAATTGGGATTGTGAGTTTGATAATTCTGGTTGTGAGTTGAATAAAAAATAAGGGTTGTAGATCAGCTAATAATGGTTGTGGATCTGCTAATGATGGTTGTGGATCTGCTAATGATGGTCGTTAGTTTGATAATGGTGGTTGTGGATCTACTAATGATGGTTGTGCCTTTGATAATGATAGTTGTGGATCTGCTATTGATTGTTGTGACTTTGATAATGATAGTTGTGAGTTTGATAATGATAGTTGTGGATCTGCTATTGATGGTTGTGACTTTGATAATGATAGTTGTGAGTTTGATAATGATGGTTGTGACTTTGGTAATGATGGTTGTGACTTAGGGAATGATGGTTGTGAGTTTCATAATGACAGTTGTTATTTTGATAATTATGGTAGTCAGTTTGATGATGATTTTGATAATGATGATTCTAAGTTAGATAACTTCATTTTATTAACACTATATAGATATATGATATGCTCTTATTATTTCAGGCAATTTTGGAACCATTTTCCAAAGTTTTAAGCTTTGCCATTCAGAATTGTTCATTTAAACTACAACAACTTTTGGATATATGTTCACTATGTAACAGAGCTTTTAGTAGGGTAAGTATATTGCTTTGAAAGTTCACAACAAAATGCTCCATGGATAGCATTGATTTACTGATGATAATTCAAAAGTTTTATGCTTTTTAGGTAAAACTATCTTGTTGATATTATTAGATCTATCATGTCCAATACCTAGAACTGCTTTTACAATTTTGACTTTTGAAGCTCTTTTCATCAATTTTGACTATACTTTTCAAAGACAAGATGAAAAATAGACTTGCTACATAATAGGAATTGTGTCAATTTGCTTTTTTTTTCACAGGAGAGAGATAAGATTTTATTGACAAGAGTTGTGATATTTGAGCTGGTGTCTACATTGAAATTTAAAATAAGTATACCAGATGATAACTTGCTGGTCTTGGTACAGGTAAGAATTTACTGACTTTTGAAGATTCAATAGAAATAAAGCAGGCTACTGATCCTAGTACATGAAAACCTTGAAATGTAGATACTTGTAGATCCTATAATGATGACTTATGTGATATACCAAAATATCAAGGTGGTGTGTGTTCTAGTATATTATCAGATGATGTTGGTATGACCTAACCACCTCAATCATTATTAACTTATTGTTTCTATTTATTATAGTTTGTATTATTAGATACTGGAGGTAGTCTATGTTCTAGTATATTATCAGATGATGTTGGTATGACCTCACCACCTCAATCATTATGAACTTATTGTTTCTATTTATTATAGTTTGTATTATTAGATACTGGAGGTAGTCTATGTTCTAGTATATTATCAGATGATGTTGGTATGACCTCACCACCTCAATCATTATGAACTTATTGTTTCTATTTATTATAGTTTGTAGTATTAGATACTGGAGGTAGTCTATGTTCTAGTATATTATCAGATGATGTTGGTATGACCTACACCTCACCAGCTCAATCATTATTAAGTTATAATGCGGCTGAATGTATGAGACAACATATTAATGATTGTATAGAATTTATATCTGATCTTCATACACTTACTAAAGTTAAGGTAAATAATGTATTTTAAAGGTGTTCTATCTCCAGAACAAGTAATTTGATGACCATTTATGCCATTCCAATTTTCAATAAGACGTCTGTGGTTCCTGTAATTCAACTAAAACTAATTGTTTGATGATGTCACTACTTTCAAAATATGCTTGTATCAAATAAGGCCGTCTGTTATTAATGACATCATCAAACACTTAGTTTTAGTGGAATTACAGTAACAGCAGACGTCTGACTCTTGCAAATTGAAGATATCAGTGTCCCTGATACACAACACAAACTTAGAAAACCTCTTTACAAGCCATTTAATAACATTTTTTGACCACATTTATCATGTGGCATCATATTCTTATATAGTTAGGAGCTACATAATGTTATTTTGGTATCTCATTTAATTAGAATAATAGTAAATGTGTATCAAGAAGTTTAAATGAAGATACTCTGGGATGTCAGTTAAAATCTGGTATAGCTCAGTTTGTAGCATTAGAAATAACCAGAGGTAATGGACATGATAATAGAGCTATAACCAGATATCTTCCATGGTTGTACCATCCACCATCAGCCATGCAACAAGGGTAAGATCTCCTTTATATCTAATAAATTGATCCAATTTATTTATTTATGTAGCTGGCTTTTGGCTGAAAGTGACTTGCTAATCTGATTTTATCAGCTGCTAGTTTTTAACAGTAGCTGAATTGGTGAAACCGACAAAAATGCACGTGGTGTGCCCAGCTATCACCCATCCCAAAGAGAAAGAGCCTGAAGTTACTAAACCTCATTAATTGTTCATGAACATAATTACTTGCCTTTTTACAACTTCAATTACTTTCTTTAGCTGTATTTTTGCTTGTATAGTGCAAATTTTTGGCTTGCCCTACTGAAGGTGCACATTATATACAGTGATAAAAAAGTTGAATTTTAATCAGAGGTTCCCAATGGACAAGCCGTCATTTTGTTTTATTGAATACTATACCTTATATAACAAAGTTTTATCTATATCCCAATATCGGTGTTGCTTTTGTGAAGAGTACTTGACATTTTTTTGTAACCATGGTAACCAAACATAGCAACTGTGTATTTGCGCAATTTATTTTTATGTATAATTTTGAAAATTTCAGACCAAAAGAGTTTATAGATAGTATCGGCCATATTAGATTATTATCCTGGATATTGATAGGATCTCTAACACATACTGCTATACGAGAGGGGGCAGCACCTATCTCTTGTTTACCTGTACCTATAGAGGCTAGTTCTCATATAGCTGATCATGTTATGGTTATAATGACTGGTTTTGCCGAACAATCCAAGGTGAGAGGATTAACAAATTATTTCACTAGGAAAATTACCATATAATTGCAAATATTATACGCATGTATAATGTTCACCTTTTGTGCTCGAAGGAAATTTGGAAAAATCCTGACAATATGCAGCCCATCTATTAGAGAAATATCAACAATTTTGCATAATGGAGACACCAGTTGATATATTGAGCACTATTTTAACGGTGAAAATACTTTATTGTATTGTAATGCAGACACCATAATATTAAGCACAGGCCCGTAGCTAGCCCTTAGACTGTCAGGGAAAAAGGTTTGGGGCCAACATAATTCGATGGGGGCTTCAAGTGTGTGCCATGACAAGACATTTAAGTCCTCTAAATTTTTCAGGAGGTTAGAAGGGTCAAAAATTTCTTATGAGGGGCGACCTGATAAGTGTTATATCATTTATCAGTATATGATAAGGCAGTCCAGTCCTGCTTTTTGAAAGATATTCATAATATATGTTCATATTTTTATGTTAATTTCAGGCTTCAGTACTTCACATGTCATCACTGTTTCATGCTTTTATTCTTTGTCAGGTAAGTTTATTGTAAATGATGTTTTAGCACTTATAAACCTGGAAAAAAATTGTGTTTGAATAACTTCAAAATTTTGAATATTCATATGGGTCAAAAAATTTTGTTCTGGTTATTGACTTGTTGATGAGCATTGCAAATTTGGATTAATATCATTTTGACTCTATTTTTCTAGTTATGGACAATGTATTGTGAATCAGCTGCAGCCATGCATCCTCAGAACAGTGAACAATATGATACAGCATCAGCTATGGTTATGGATTTCTGGGCTAGAGTAACACCTGGTATCTTACAGTTACTCTCTCATTCTAAAGTGGTGAGTAATATTTAACTATTTGTGAGTTAACCTGAAGGTCCAGGGTGCAATAATTTTGGCAAAGGTTGAGGTTTTGAGGGCTATCCTAGGTGGTTCAGCTTATTAGTCTCACTAAGATTATGTGTAAAGGGTTGCCCATCAATGAGGTGCAAGGTGGATTGTCGGACACAGAAGACTTTGGCTGTTCCCATTAACAGCTAATTCCATTGTCTTTGGAAATTTTATAATTATGCCAATCTTCAGGGGAAAAAGTGTATTTATGGCATTGCATATTTTAAAAATTAATTTTGTTAATTTAGTTACTTATATGATCAACTATATTTGCAGTTGGCTGAAATGGTAAACTTACATTTCTTAAGTTTAATGGAATCTCTACAAGAATGTAATTCTGCTGTCCTAACTAAGGTAATCCTTTGATTCTTTTTTCCATCATTGCACACTTGGCTTGTTTGTTTTCTTTCTATCACAATTTTATAACATCAACATATATGTTTTTAATATGCTGTATACAGAACACATGCTTTATAATTTGTGTCTTGTGCTTCATGTATGGTAGCATATGCTTTATGATTTGTTATACATATTAGTGCTTTATATTTGTATAATAATATATGCTTCATGTGTTTTTTTTATTATTTATTTTGTGTTGTGCAGTATGTGCTGTGCTTTGTTACATGTAGACCTATATTTGATTTATTTTGCAATGCGCTTTATATTTTGATTTATGCTATAATGTTAAATATTTTCTGTATGTTATAAAGCATGTGTTTATGTTTCGTAACGCTTTGATGCTTTGTAATATGTGCTTTATGCTTATATCATAATCAACCTCTATATTCCCATATATTCGATTCGGCCTGTTTTTGTTTTTGTGTGTCGAATTCTCTGTTTTGAATTTTGAAAGAAGAATGTGTTCATATGGTATGTTGTTTTTATTTCATTTTTGTTTATATTTTGTCTGTTTTGTTTGATGATCACATTGCATGGTGAATTTGTATTTTAAACTGTAGGCTACAATTGCTCTTATTTCCAAGAATATTTAGGAATTAGACAAAATTCAAATGTTTAAAAGTGATGAAAATTATTGTAAAATCCACAAAAAAGATTTCTCATATCCCTCAGATGAATCCATTTTGAGCACAATGAGATAAAACATGAAATAACTGGAAGTAATATTAATGTGGTCTGTAATATATTTTAACAGTAACTGAAATTAGAGTAGTCTACCATTTGCCTATGATATTTGAGTTGAAATTACTTAAAACTTGTGTCTTTCACAAATTTTTGTGGTTTAGGCTGCGAATATACAAGAAATGATGTGCGACGATGTGCAATGCAGTGTACTGTGCAGAATATACAATACAAATGAAAACAGAAGAAGTGAATTAGGATTAGGAATTACTTTAGTATAACCACCTTTAGGATAACTTCAAACTATTTAATTACTTTAGGATAACCACCTTTAGGATAACTTCAAACTATTTAATTACTTTAGGATAACCTCCTTTAGGATAACTTCAAACTATTTAATTACTTTAGGATAACCTCCTTTAGGATAACTTCAAACTATTTAATTACTTTAGGATAACCTCAAACTATTGAATTACTTTAGGATAACCTCCTTTAGGATAACTTCAAACTATTTAATTACTTTAAGATAACTTCTTTTAGGATAACTTCAAACTATTTAATTACTTTAGGATAACCTCCTTTAGGATATCTTCAAACTGTTTAATTACTTTAGGATAACCTCCTTTAGGATAACTTCAAACTATTTAATTACTTTAGGATAACCACCTTTAGGATAACTTCAAACTATTTAATTACTTTAGGATAACCTCCTTTAGGATAACTTCAAAATCAATTTAATTACTAAAAATCTATATTTTCTTTTTCCAGTTATTTCCTATGTGGACCACCATTCTCTTTGCTTATCATTCAAAGGTTTGTATTTTCCTCCTGGAAAGAATTTTCAAATTCAAATTTTATACTTTTGGTATGTCTTGTTTGCTAAATATATACAAGCTACAAAAGAAGCAAGGTTTTTAAAAAAAAAATACCAAATTCGAGAATGATTTCCCATCATCTACAGGTACAAATTTGTATTTGCAGCTTCCTGGACATTTACAAGTCAGAATGCAGGTTTGTCAGAATTGGAAACCTCCCCATCCTACCAAAGATCAAACCAACTTTAATTCTACAGTATTGGTAAACTGGTTGAAGAGAACTCAATTTAGATTGGGACAGATTGAAGTCCAGTCATCAGCTGCTACCCAGTTCTATACAGTTTAGATTAGCTTCATATATATTGTCAAGCCTGTTGAAGCTGCTAATACTACCTAGTCTGATGTATCAGCTGCTTCCCAGTTCTATACAGTTTAGATTAGCTTCATATATATTGTCGAACCTGCTGCAGCTGCTTGATCTTCTATTGCTCAGCCTTGTGTATCAGCTGCTACCCATGTCTATACAGTGAAGATTTTGTTGAACCTGCAGCAACGGCTTGGGCTACTACTACCAAGCTTGGTGTATCAGCTACTAAACATACAGTTTCATACAGTTTAAAATAAGTTACATAATTGTCCAACCTACTTCAGCATAAATCGTGTTACTTTTAGTGGAATGGCAAGAACCACAGATGTCTGAATGAAAAGTGGAATGATGCAAATTGATGCTATCAGTATCCCTGATACACATAAAAAGTTTAGAAAACCTATTTACAATCTCTTTAAGACAATACAGTATCATTCAAGACATTCTAGAAAAAAAAATGAGTAGGCAATGAGCAAATGCAGAAATATCATCAGCAAGGTATCAAATTTGATGTATGCAGATGTGATGTTCTGGTTATTTCAGTTTTTGATTTGTTCTCCGAATTTTGGTAAAGTCATGAAATGTTACCAAATATAAATTTGATTGATTTCCAACTACAAGGATGAAATACTCAGGTCAATGATAGATCATGCCAATGGACAAATAGGTTTAACATCAAAAGATGTCTGTACCAATAGTCAATTTTAGTCTATATAAATAATGTCCGTCCTGGCAAGAGATTTGTTTGGTTTGACTGACCACTGTCCAGTATTGAATTATCCATTGATGATTTTGGTCAGATTGGCAACTTATAACTGAAGTGACTATAGGCTTGAAATTTATTTGAAGAAAGCTTGGTAAATGAATTGTATTGAGAAACAATTGTTACTGGTCGAGCAAATTTTTATATGAAACTATTTAAATTTTCTGGTTTTGAGGCATAAAATGTTTAAATATCAAATTTTTGTATCAAAAAAGACCTTTACATTTTCTGATCCTTTACCAGTTGTGTCTGCATTCATCCTTGGTCTATCAATATTCTATGTTTTACCCAAATTCAACTTTAGTAACTGAGACATCTGACTCAATAACTAAAAGATTTAAGGTAACCAAAAGGAAGGACTAAAAAAAGTAACTAAAAAATTGGGCTTAATAACTCATAATTTACTATTTCAAGTATAAAATGCTTTGGTTTGTCCCGCTGTTTTAGCACCCCATTAAATATCCTATCACTTAAGATAGTTCTCTCTCTTTTTTTTTGTTTATATTAGTTGACCTTGGACATTCATGGAAGTGTTTGGTAAAATATTTGTCAGGGAATCACTTGTTATGGTAATCACTTCAATATGACACTTCATATGTCAATCACTTCAATGTCAATCACTTCAATATTCACTTCTGATGTCAAGAGTCTCTTAGATAATCAAAGAGTATTATAAGCTAAACTTTACACTTCTTGATGTTAATAATTAACTTGATGATATTGATATAGATAAACTTGATGTAATAATTACAGTGTCAAATTTCAAATTTTTGAAATTTTAAATAGAATATTATCTTGAATATATCTTAAGATGTGTGGGTATCTTTCGTTTATAAACTTTGCACAGATTTCAAAAGTGATAACCTCCAGCATCAATTAATGATATTGCTCTACAATAAAATTATGGAGCACAATTTTAACATCCAAATTGGAATTTCTTTTACTCTATTTTAACGAAATTTAGATTATTGATAGACTGACTCAAGGGGGGAGAGGGGCAGCCCAATCGCAATTTATTGGTGTTGGGGCTCAGATTTTGTACTCAGATAATTTGAAGAACGAAAGTCCCAGAGAACTCATTTCTGACAATTTTGAGGTGTCAAAAACATCTAAATCTTTTTGATTTTGTACAAAGACACTGTAAATGAATCAATCTCTGCTGAACTGAAGAAGATTTTGCTGGGGTTTAATTCTCACTTAATGTTAATGAAATTCTAAGATAAGTTTGCCAAAAGTGTCATCAGGTGTTCCCAAATTAAAACTGTTTAAATTCAAACACTTTATTTGACACAATTACATAATAATGAGATGAGGACCGAAATGGCAAGTGGCAACAGGTGAAAGTTTGAGGATAAACTTCAATTTCTTACTGAGTACCTCTTAACTTATCATATTAAACAATAGAAATTATGTAATATGTAGAGTATAGAGAATGAAAACTCACGAACGGAAATACCATTGACCTACTAAGCTGACATGCAGTTGAATGGGGGTTGTATAGTCTATTCTTTTACGTAATTAAAAGTATATGTTCTCAATGAAAGTCAAGACGGTGTTTCCTGCAACGAGTTTATGGCTCACTCTGATGAAATAAGGTCCATTGGGGTCAATAGGTGTCATTCTTTGACATTATTATGGCGTCCATGGTTTTATGAAACTTCTGGTTCTGGTACTGCCATTTGTGTGGTGTGTTGAACTTTTCAAAAATACTCAATAAAGGCACTTTCCAACTAACGTTGGTGGTACCGAGCGCGGTAGCAGTCATTGGACACACAATGATCAGCAAGTTACCCCTCCATCTTGTCCCATTCTGATAAGTGTTTCCTTGTTGGCACTTCTGCTTCATTTTAGAGGGCAATATTTGCATGCCAAAGTTGTTCCTTTTATAATATATGTGAACATCTGAATAACTGAATTTCAATTTATTTGGTTTGTTTTTAATCATATAATAATAACAGGGTTCAGGTGCAAGGATTTTGTAGCAAAGCGTCTTCCAGAATTTATTTAGGCTAGGCTAGTAGCCTAAAAGCCACTTGTGTCTGAAAACTAGCTCGTCTGCAAACGACATTGTTCATGCAACCATGAGACAAAACAAATGTAATTTATGTACATTATATAGTAATTGTTGTGTTATTGTTATTATTTATTATATTTAATGGTAAACAAACGACTCTGTGATGTTCATTTTATTTATTGTTGCCAAAATAAACATATTATTATGCTTTCAATCTTTTTCTTTGTCTGTGTATGTAAAAAGTATGTGCGTTGAGGCAACGGAAAGAAAAATTCCATGTGAATTTCTTAGTTTAGTCTGAAACCTGAATTATATAGGGATTAAATAGCGAAGTCCTACATGTTACGGGTTCACGTTGTTGGGAAATCAAACGATACACAGGCTTAAAATTAGGTATATTATAACTCTAATAGGGCAGTTTTGATCACAATTGGATTACTTTCGCCCATTTGACATTAAATAGTCTAAGAAAAATACGAGCGACCAAGAAAATCTTTAAAATAAGGTTTGATTTGCTTGCATCCGAGGGCATTCTGGATATAGCATACGACGATCGACTCTCAAGTAGAAATAAAAAAAAAACCACAGGAATTGACATAAAAGAAAACTAGTGCTTTTCAGGACTTCCTCCTGAATTCAACATTCAACTAAAAAAAGGGAAGGATTTTTAGGACTGCTGTAGAGCCTGCATACGTCATATTGCGGTCGGAATGCAACTTATTGCCTACATGCTTCGCCTAAAAAGAATAAATCGGAAATGGACTGAAGTACTATTTTATTCTACTGTATTTCTACCACAAGATGATGACGTACCCGGAACTTAAAATAACTTAGCCTACTTGTAGAGATTTTTAAAATATTTTCATTTCAATATCGGTCTACTTTCCTTAATCTTTAAAATTGTCCAATGAGTGTCCACTCATATGTAAGAAGTTCGTAGTATGAATTAAAAAATATCAACAGGAAACATTTGTTCAATAATTTACCGCAAGAAAAACCTTCATTACGTAAAATACTGGTCAATGTTTTCAATATTTTAGAAATTTATAGAGTAGCCCCTCGGAACCGGACGTTAATACTTTGGTTTATAAACATTTGAACCGGTAATTTAACTATAAAAGGAAATACTTGAAATATTAATGAACGTGTATTGAGAACATCCTGTAAACCATGCCAATCATTTCCACTCGAGGTAAAATAGTTTCAACATCATTCACATGTGAAGGCAGGTCATATCAGCTTCGGGGTTAAGATTGTTAATTTACCTTGGGCCGTATCGAGTAGCCATATTGAAATTAATTAAAACTGGTTTTTCAGAGCAATCCAAAAATAAGGCAAAATGCAATATGAAGATCGATAATGTGGAGCTCTCTTTAAAAAAAAATCAATTCCCAGTTTCGCGCCAAAGTTTACTTCCGATTGGTAGGATGGTTGGAAGCTGACGTGATGGTAATCGTGGTAGTTGGATCTGGAACAATTTGATGGTTTGGTACTGTTGATTCGGTAGTTGAGAAATCTTTAGATCTGGTCGGGTTGACATGTCGGTAAGGCTGGTCGTTAGGGATTTATATCAACCCCATCATATTTCTATCCCGTAGCTATTTCTAGCTCTACCTATTACTAAGTCAAACCAGGAAAACTAAGATGATTCACAAACCAACAGGGTTAAATATTACACCGATTAGAATGAAGAAGCTAAGTTTGTGAAAGTTTAATTTCTAGCAACCATTTCTGTACTTTTCCTCGAAGATCTATTCAGCTGGAAGAGGGAATATTTTTTAAAGTATTCATTCTGTAACAAGTAAATTCTACATTTCTTCATTATCATGTGAAGTGATCATTTGGGATTTTTCTGTAACAGTCGATCAGAGAGGCCGTGAAAATCTTCTACCATCAAAATGTCGATCATATGTTTACGTGCACCAAGTGAATGTGGTATTGTAATGCAATATGGAAATGTTCTTACAATTTCTACCTTTGTAAATGATTATTTTTGTTTAACGTGGTCAAATTTAAGTAGTACTCGTCAAATTTCTGCAATGAAATAATAGAAACCTGGGAAACAGAGCTGACATTCATAATGTTATGTAGGCCTAGCTACGGACAGGAAATCAAGAGAAATGAAATCTCGGTTACAAATTGATTTAGTGTGTATGACATGCAGTTAGTAACCTTGGTACAAGTAACCTCCAAATGATAGTT